TAATGTAAACATTACATATATAATATTTTTTTTCATCACACAACCTTGCTCATTTTCAAAGTTTTATAAACATCATGTGTATCCTTTTGTAGCCAAAATGTTACAGTAAATACGAATCAATCAATTAGTCAATTAACAAATCAATCAATCAATTCCTGCCATCAACAAATAGCCTTAAATCAAGAAAAAAACAACAAAAAAGATTTCTATAAAAAAAAATTTAAGTCCCATGGCAACTTCCAAGCTGAACTTGTTTGAAACGATATCTAAGGTTTATCACCATGGATTATTTCATGTACCTGTTGAACCACCAAACTTCCGCAAGCCAGATATACAGCCTCTCACAAGTAAAACACAACCATAGTTCCTTTTGCAAGACTACATCCCACAGTTGTAGGTGAATTTTTCAATTCTTTTTGTTTGGTTTTGAGTAACAATATCACAATAACACTGTTTAAGATCACATGTACACTTTCCAGCTTTCCTGACCGAGAAATACCTCAATCGACCCCCGGTGCATTATTTCTGACACAAACCGGCACCTGAGAAGAACCACTGACACTCCATTTATAAGCTTGCTGGATAGACTTATTATAAACAAGATTACACCTAAACCACTGGACCACAAAAGCTCGAATTGGATGTTGATTAAAGACGTTATAAGTTCCAAACTGAATCACATTAAAGATAACATGCATACATAACAATATTATACAAATGTAACACAATTTACATGATCGAATATTAAATTTTTTATATTTCATTATGTACAACATCTCTTGTAACTGTAACTTTTAAAAAACAAATTCACATTATAAAATGAAAAAAACAAAAAATGTCTTGAGACATAAAAAATCAACAAACTTAACTTAAGATTATTTAATAGAAACATTTCTTTTCTTAGCTCTAGAGTTCTTTATCTAGCAATATGTGTATGATTGTAAAAGAAAAAGTACATTTAAACATCATATAGCACTGCTTTATGTAAATAGTTGAAATTAGCACTGAGAAAAGTCCCTCTCCACTCAATGTGGCCCAGAACATTTCAAGTGAATTATACTAATGTTTATCATTTAAAGGCCCATTATTTTCAAGAAATGCTTTCATCTTTACAGCACAAAAGCTTTTTTTTTATTGCCAAACAGTTACTCATTGTCCACTTGCCTAAGCCAAATTTTGCTTCTGTTACGTTTTGGCAACTAGTACAGTTATAGTAATTTAGTTATTTTGTATGAAAGTCAAAATACTACTTTGATTTCATTGCACTTTATGACAAATAAATCCAAATGTAGCACTACTTTTTTCTTATGATTAGCATCTCACATGATCAACCATTATTTAAACATAATAAAACTCATTTCCAAGACATAATAGTATCTTTAAATGGAAATAGAAATGTATACTATTATTAAACAATGCTGACATGTACGAGTAATTTGTAGTTCGCAAACTTTAATCACTAACACCTTTAGCATTTGTTTTAAATTGCTTCAAAAATTGCTATACCATAATATATTAATGCACCCCACTTTTATTAAGTTAATACTGAGAGATGAAGTGTTTCAAAAATTAATATAAATTATGTTATTTAACATATATAGCAAAACTCTTCAAAGAATATATAAAATGTACAAATATTAAGGTCTACTTCATGCTTAAGACTTTTACAAATATAAAATTTTCCATCAACTGTAAAAAATGGTATGAGTAATAATGGCAATTATATAACATGATATCATGTCTGTGGAATGCATGGGAAAATAACTTTTAACAAATTTGAGTATAAGAAAATAAGTTTGTATAACCATTAAAAAATTCTGTTCTGAGATTTATAAGAAATAAAAACAGTACTAACAGATGCTTAAAAAACCTAAGTTGAGTCCATACTGTGTGACCTTTGACCTTTGGGATTCAGATCTGATCTGAGATATACAGTAGTTTGTGGAAAGAGCCTCAAGATATTTGCACGGACCGTATCGAAAAAAAAATAAAAAAAATTCAAAACTGTATTTTTTCACCTTTTCTAAAGTAAAATATTTAAGAATGGGGAAATATCTGACAATACTATACATATGTCTCCCTTGTGATAGACCTTGGACTTATGTCCTAGGATAGACATATACAAAATCAAATACAAAACAAGATTGCATTTGAGAAAAATGCTATGCCACCGCATTAATACAGCACTAAATAGTAGTGTGCATTAATACAACACTAAATAGTAGTGTAGGAACGGATATTTTTGTTTCTATACAATTGAAGATTGTCATAATGCATAGATCCCTGACCTATCTAATTCTTATCAACAGATTAGTGGTTGAATCTATTGTTAATCCAACAAAAGATCAGAGTAGGAATATATCAATGCACTTGAGTCTTGTTAATTTGGTGGTGAAGGTCATATTTCTCACAGCCTAAATTTCATGACTATATCAAAGGACAACACAGTAAGACACTTTGTTAAAATCTAAGTCAGCTAATATCAAAGTTCACTTTACATCTTAATCTGTGCACATGGTTCAAATTTCATAGCTGTACATCAAAGGGCAAGAGAGTAAGTCACATCATCAAAATCTAGATCACCTGATATCAAAGTTCAATTTTACAACTTAAACTGTGCACATGGTCAAAATTTCATTGCTGTACATCAAAGGATAAGAAAGTAGGTCACTTTCCCCTTGGGCAAGGCAAAATTTTGACCCAAGGGTTTTATTCAAACAATCTTGATACAGGTCCACCAAACAACATTTCAAGTCAAATATCTAAGCTGTAGCTTTCTCCCATTCAGAAAACATTTGTTTTATTTTCTGTTTTTACTATGTGTTCATAATGAGAATCACTGCCCTGGGCAGGGCCAATTTTGACACCAAGGGAAAAATTTGAACAACTTTGGTAGAGGACCTATAGATGATATTATATAGCAAACATCAAAGCTCTATGCCTTGTACCTTCAAACAAAAATACTTTTTTTTTTTACTATATGTACATAATGAAAATCAATGACCCCCGGGTCGGAACCAATTTTGACCCAAGGGCTATAATTTGAACAATCTTGGTAGAAGTTCACTTAGCAAAGTCTCATGCCATATATTTAACCTCTAGCCTTTGTCAATTCAGAGAAGAAATTTTTCAAGTTTTAACTTTATTTTTTTTGTTTGTTTTGGGTTTTACGTCACATCAACACAGTAAATAGGTCATATCGCGACGTTCCAGCTTTACTGGTGGAGGAAGACCTCAGGTGCCCCTCCGTGCATTATTTCAGGCACGAACCGGCACCTGAGTAGAACCACCAACGTCCCGTAAGCTAGCTGGATAGCTTCCTCACATGAAAGAATCCAAAGTCCCCTGTCGGGATTCGAACCCACAGCGGTGAGGGGCAAGTGGTTTTGAAGTCAACGACCTTAACCACTCGGCCACGGACGACCCCAACATTTTAACTTTATACATATAAGGAAAACTATCGCCTCTGGGGCAGGGCAATTTTAACTCTAGGGGCATACTTAAAAACAACTTTAGTAGAGGACCCATGATATTACATACCCAATATAAAATCTCTTAAGGCCTTAAAGTACCTTCAGACAAGACATTTTTTTTACTATAGTTACATAGTGAAAATCAATGACCCCTAGGGGTGGAGCCAATTTTGACCCCAGGGCTATAATTTGTACAATCTTGCTAGAGGTTCACTACACAATGTTTCATGCAAAATATCTTAACTCCAGCCTTAATAAATTTAGAGAAGATGATTTTTTCAAATTTTTACTATATACATATAAGGAAAAACCTATGGCCCCCGGGGCGGGGCTAATTTTGGACACTAGAGGGCAAAATCTGAACAAATTTTGGTAGAGTACCCTATAGATTATATCATTTAACAAATATATAAAGCTCTAAGCCTTGTACCTTCAGACAATAAGATTTTTTACTATATGTATATATTGAAATTCAATGACCCCCGGGCCGGTGAGGCCGATTTTGACCCCAGGCTATAATTTGAACAATCTTGCTAGAGGTTCACTACACAATGTTTCATGCAAAAATATCTAACCTCTATCATTTGTCAATTGTTTTTACTAATAACTTTTACTTTATACATCTAAGGAAAACCAATGACCCCCGGGGCAGGGCCGATTTTGACCCCAGGGCTATAATTTGAACAATCTGGGTAGAAGTCTACCAGACAATGCCTTATGCAAAATATCTAACCTCTAGGCCTTTTGGGTCTTTACAAGAAGGTATTTTTAAGTTTTTACTATATGTACCATATAGTGAAAACCAATGACCCCCGGGGCGGGGGCTGATTTTGACCCCAGGGCTATCATTTGAACAATCTTGGTAAGGGTCTACCAGACAATGCCTTATTGCAAAATATCAAAGCTCTAGGCCTTTTGGGTCTTTACAAGAGGGTATTTTACGTTTTTACTATATGTCATATAGTGAAAATCAATGACCCCCAGGGCGGGGCCGATTTTGACCCCAGGGCTATAATTTGAACAATCTTGGTAGATGTCTACCAGACAATGCTTTGTGCCAAATATCTAAGCTCTAGGCCTTTTGGGTCTTTACAAGAAGATTTTTTAAATTTATTTCTTATAATTCCTTTGGTTGCCATGGCAACCAGATTTTCTGCATGGAATGAAATTCTTGAACAACTTTGGAACGCCCTTCACACAAGGATCAATCCTGCCAAGTTTGTGTTGAAATTGGACCAGTGGTTTTTCACAAGAAGATTTTTGAAGTTCACTATATAATCTATATAACACACACACACACAAACAAACAAACAAACACACACACACACGCACACACACACAGGTGAATCGCTATATGCCACCGCATCGCAGATGCTGCGGTGGCATAAAAAATTCTCAACTTAATTTCACATGGTTTTCCACTAATTTTACCCAAATATAGTTGAAATTATCAGATGAATAACTTACAATGAACAAACATGAAAATTTTATATGCTAGTGGGCAAAAAAGTCAATCGCAAAAATGAATAAATTTCATAATTCCACTTTGTTTTCATTTTACCAAACTTTGAACACTCTACCCTGAATCTTTATCTAAACATGTAATTACTTAGCAAAACCAAACAAATTGCGACAATAGATTCATTTCCATGAATAATAAAGTCATAATGAATTGACACTTTACAGTTTTTATATCTTTTGCAACTTATTAGGCCTATATCTTACAATAAAAGGACCTTCATTAAGTTCTATGTAGATAATAAATGAACGATCTATGTCCACATTTGAGATTTTTTTTATCCTGGGTGACCTGTGATTGCACATATTCTTAGTTTTTTCCTTCTCACGATGAATGAATTACATTGGGACATGACTAAAAAGATACGAAACCGATTCTCCGTTGTGTGTACGTCGGATTGCTTCCGCTAATATCATAGAAATATCCAAACACTGGAAATAGAAAAATATTCATATACATAAATGTATACACACCTAGAGATCTTCAAAATTTCTATTTTTATCTTTGATTATAACAAGCACAACACTTAATTCTGATTCTGATTTTGTGGTTCAAACAAAAATGTAAAGTTTTATGGTAAATTTTCTATATGGAGGCCTTTGGTGCCCCACATTTAATATTTCTGGCACAAGTTGGCATCCAATAAAATCACTCAAGCTAGCTAGGTAGATTTCCCTCATTCCCCCAAAATTAAAGAAAATTAAACAAGAGGGCCATGATGGCCCTGAAATCGCTCACCTGTATATAGGCCCCCGGGGCGGGGCTAATTTTAACCCAGGGGCTTTTATTTGAACAAACTTGGTAGATCCCCATTTGAAGATGTTTCATGATAAATATCTAAGCTCTAGCTCTAAGAAAATCTTTAAGTTTTTACTAAACACATAAAGTGAAAAACAATGACCCACACCCTCTGTGCGGGCCAATTTTGTCCCCAGGGCTTTTATTTGAACAAACTTGGTAAACACTCACTAGAAGATAATTCATGCTTAATATCTAAACTCTATCTCATTGGGCTTTTTAACAGAACATTTTTTCAGTTTTTACTATATACATAAAAGGAAAATCAATGATCCCGGGGCCGGGCCAATTTTTTAACCCAAGGGCCCTTAATTTAACAACAAGAGGGCCATGATGGCCCTGAGGTCGCTCACCTGTATATAGGCCCCCCCAACCCCCCCCCCCCCCCCCCCCAATGATCAATGACCCCCTGGGGTGGGGCCAATTTTGACCCCAGGGCTTTTATTTGAACAAACTTGGTAGACACCTATTAGAACATGTTTCATGCTAAATATCTTAGCTCTAACTCTTTTGGTTCTTTAAAAGAAGATTTTTTAAGTTTTTAATATATGCATATAGGGAAAATCAATGACCCCCTGGGGCGGGGCCAATTTTAACCCCCGGGCTTTTATTTGAACAAACTTGGTAGACAACTATTAGAACATGTTTCATGCTCAATATCTTAGCCATAGCTCTTTGAGTTCTTTAAAAGATTTTTTAAAGTTTTTACTATATGCATATAGGGGAAAATCAATGACCCCCCGGGGCGGGTCCAATTTTGACCCCAGGGCTTTTATTTGAACAAACTTGGTAGACACCCATTAAAACATATTTCATGCTAAATATCTTAGCTCTAGCTCTTTTGGTTCTTTAAAAGAAGATTTTTTAAGTTTTTACTATATGCATATAGGGAAAATCAATGATCCCCCCCCCGGGGTGGGGCCAATTTTGACCCCAGGGCTTTTATTTGAACAAACTTGGTAGACACTTATTAGAACATGTTTCATGCTAAATATCTTAGCTCTAACTCTTTTGGTTCTTTAAAAGAAGATTTTTTAAGTTTTTACTATATGCATATAGGGAAAATCAATGACCCCCTGGGGCGGGGCCAATTTTGACCCCAGGGCTTTTATTTAAACAAACTTGATAGACACCTATTAGAACATGTTTGATGCTCAATATCTTAGCCACAGCTCTTTGAGTTCTTTAAAAGAAGATTTTTTAAGTTTTTACTATATGCATATAGGGAAAATTAATGACCCCCCAGGGCGGGGCCAATTTTGACCCCAGGGCTTTTATTTGAACAAACATGGTAGACACCCATTAGAACATATTTCATGCTAAATATCTTAGCTCTAGCTCTTTGGGTTCTTTAAAAGAAGATTTTTTAATTTTTTACTATATGCATATAGGGAAAATCAATGACCCCCGGGGCGGGGCCAATTTTGACCCCAGGGCTTTTATTTGAACAAACTTGGTAGACACTCACTAGAAGATGTTTCATGCCAAATATCTAAGCTCTAGCTCTTATGGTTTTTTAAAAGAAGATATTTAAAGTTTTTTCTTTCGGTTGCCATGGCAACCAGAATTCTGCATGGAATTAAATTCTTTGAACAATTTTCAAAGGTGACCACCAAAGGAACATTCCTGTGAAGTTTGGATGAAATTGGCTTAGTGGTTTACGAGGAGATGTCATTTAAAGTAAAAGTTTACGGACGGACGGACGACGGACGGACGCAAAGTGATCACAAAAGCTCACCCTGTCACTTTGTGACAGGTGAGCTAAAAATGGTAGACACCGATTAGAAGATGTTTCATGCTAAATATCTTAGCTCTAGCTTTTAAGATTTTTTAAAAGAAGATGTTTTATGTTTTAACTAGATACATAAAAGGAAAAACAATGACCCCCTGGGCGGGGCCAATTTTGACCCCAGGGCTTTTATTTGAACAAACTTGTTAGACACCCACTAGAAAAGGTTTCATGCTTAATAGCTAAGCTCTAGCTTTTTGGTTTTTTAAAAGAAGATTTTTTAAGTTTTTACTATATGCATATAGGGTAAATCAATGACCCCCTGGGGCGGGGCCAATTTTGACCCCAGGGCTTTTATTTAAACAAACTTGGTAGACACCCATTAGAGGATGTTTCATGCTAAATATCTTTAGCTCTAGCTCTTTGGTTCTTTAAAAGAAGATTTTTTAAGGTTTTACTATATGCATATAGGAAAATCAATGACCCCCTGGGGCGGGGCCAATTTTGACCCCAGGGCTTTTATTTAAACAAACTTGGTAGACACTGACTAGAAGATGTTTCATGCCAAATATTTAAGCTCTACCTCTTTGGGTTTTTTAAAAGAAGATTTTTAAGGTTTAACTATATGCATATAGGGTAAATCAATGACCCCCTGGGGCGGGGCCAATTTTGACCCCAGGGCTTTTATTTGAACAAACTTGGTAGACACCCATTAGAGGATGTTTCATGCTAAATATCTTAGCTCTAGCTCCTTGGGTTCTTTAAAAGAAGATTTTTTAAGGTTTTACTATATATGCATATAGGAAAAATCAATGACCCCCTGGGGCAGGGCCAATTTTGACTCCAGGGCTTTTATTTGAACAAACTTGGTAGACACTGACTAGAAGATGTTTCATGCCAAATATCTAAGCTCTTCCTCTTTGGGTTTTTTAAAAGAAGATTTTTTAAGGTTTTACAATATGCATATAGGGTAAATCAATGACCCCCTGGGGCGGGGCCAATTTTGACCCCAGGGCTTTTATTTGAACAAACTTGGTAGACACCCATAAGAGGATGTTTCATGCTAAATATCTTAGCTCTAGCTCTTTGGGTTCTTTAAAAGAAGATTTTTTAAGGTTTTTCTATATGCATATTCGGAAAATCAATGACCCCCTGGGGCGGGGCCAATTTTGACCCCAGGGCTTTTATTTGAATAAACTTGGTAGACACTGACTAGAAGAGGTTTCATGCCAAATATCTAAGCTCTACCTCTTTGGGTTTTTTAAAAGAAGATTTTTTAAGGTTTTACTATATGCATATAGGGTAAATCAATGACCCCCTGGGGCGGGGCCAATTTTGACCCCAGGGCTTTTATTTGACCAAACTTGGTAGACACCCATTAGAGGATGTTTCATGCTAAATATCTTAGCTCTAGCTCTTTGGGTTCTTTCTTTAAGAGAAGATTTTTTAAGGTTTTACTATATGCATATAGGGAAAATCAATGACCCCCTGGGGCGGGGCCAATTTTGACCCCAGGACTTTTATTTGAACAAACTTGGTAGACACCCATTAGAGGATGTTTCATGTTAAATGTCTTAGCTCTAGCTCTTTGGGTTCTTTAAAAGAAGATTTTTTAAGGTTTTACTATATGCATATAGGGAAAATCAATGACCCCCTGGGGCGGGGCCAATTTTGACCCCAGGGCTTTTATTTGAACAAACTTGGTAGACACTGACTAGATGATGTTTCATGCCAAATATCTAAGCTCTAGCTCTTTGGGTTTTTTAAAAGAAGATATTTTAAGTTTTTTCTTTCGGTTGCCATGGCAACCAGAGTTCTGCATGGAATTAAATTCTTTGAACAATTTTTAAAGGTGACCACCAAAGGAACATTCCTGTGAAGTTTGGATGAAATTGGCCTAGTGGTTTATGAGGAGATGTCATTTAAAGTAAAAGTTTACGGACGACGGACGGACGGACGCGGACAAAAACCGATCACAAAAGCTCACCTTGTCACTTTGTGACAGGTGAGCTAAAAATCCATCCTACAGCTATAAGAGCAAATTATTTTATGTCAGTGACCTTAATCATTGGCCATAATGGCCTGACCTCATATTTATAGGATTTTGGTACTCATTCTCTGTTGCCACAAATAATCGTATGAGTCAAGTTGATATTTTGCTGGTAACAGGATTAAAGTTTGAATGATAAAATGATTCCCTGAACAACCTATCATTTATTGATTTTGATTGATTGACTTTCTTTAGACCGGGTGGTCAAGGATAACCTACGAAAGTGCAAGCACTTATTTCCAGTAGGGTCCTTACCTAAGCAGACTGTATACCCCTAACAGTCATGTCGTTACAATACTTGACGATAGACCACTTCAAGAATTATCATCTCTGATACTAAGTTGTAAGCAAGTTAAGACTCTCATACCAATGGTATAACCTACCTGAGAATCTAACACTAAACCTCGCAACAAAAATTTTTTTTTAACCAGTTTTGTTGGAAAACATAAAAGTCCTATTTTTTAAACACACCATCTATTTTGCCAGTATCTTTTGTCAAGATATATAATTAAATTCTAAATTTCAATATATGTGCAATAATGAATATGTTTTTTATTTAAGAAAACCCTATTTACTTTCCCTTTATTTTGGTTAAATAAGAAACATCATAAATTTATATTAGGTCCGAGACTTACTGTTATTTTGGGTGCTGCTTTCATTCGTTCTTCCTGAGGTATTGTATTGGTGACACACATTGCTTCAAACATCGAGTTATTTATACGAGATATGGCAGGTCCGGAGAGGATACCGTGCGTACAAATTGCGTAAACTTTCACGGCACCAGCTTCTAACAACCTGGAAACATCGCAGTAAGGATTACAATTGTATCCACAGATTTTTGTGCAAGTTTAATTGAGCCTCAGCCAGTATTTGAACCATAAATATAAATAACACTTACTCTTGAAATAGATAGTCCCAAATTTATACAATATTTACCTCCCTTTCCAAAAGTGGCAGACATTTTTAGGGTCAATACTCTATACAATATAATTGACAAAATATGAAAAATTCAATATAAAGAGTTAATTTCGATGAATTGACTCTTTTACATGTGAAGATAAATATAACTGCAGCACCAATATGTAAAAGATCTTTATCAAATGTCATGAAGATGACAGAATAATGAGAGATTTTTATTTTATCTTAAGCGTAAAATATATGGAAATGACTCTCAAAATTCCTAATTCAAAGCAAGACAAGTGCTTGCTATTAAACAGTCATCACAGTTTTATCCAAGTCCTACTTTCAATATCAAAATCCCGTCTCATTAAAATGGACCATTTCACAGTCAAAGCATAATAATTTAATAACACAAGGGTTACATCTAGGTAAAGCATTAGTCAAGTCTTACTTTTCAGCTGCGTGACAAACTGTACCACAAGTGTCGGCCATATCGTCAACAAGTATGGCGATCTTGCCTTTTACGTCTCCGACCAACACCATTGCTGATACTTCATTAGCTTTCTTCCTTTCCTTATGGATGAGTGCAAAGTCTACATTCAGTCTATCTGCTATGGAAGTCACTCTAAAAAGCAGATTAATTCTAGATTAAATGGTTTCTAGGCATGTATAAAAATTATTTTGTACAGGAATATTTCAACAACAAAAGAACCATTTTTTCAGGCCATCCTTAAAAAAATGTTCGTTTGCAGTAACGCGACCGACTCACAAAATTTGCCCCTACTCAAATTTTTTTTCATGGTCTGGATGAAAAATTTTTTTTTGGAATCAGAAAATTATGCCTAGTGTGCTTTGTTTTTGTTCTTTTAAAGGTTAATAGAAGAAATAAAATGTAGGTCTTATTAGATTAGAATTCAGTTATCAATTTATTAATTGTTACCAGATTATCAAAGCATATATTGTCCAGCATTTTGAAATTCCATGTTTATTTGGGAGTACAGTTCAATAATAATAAAAAAAAAAAAAAAAAAAAAAAATCGACCTACCTACCCACCATGAAAATTCTGGGTCGGGTTACTGCAAACAAACATTTTTTTAAGGATGGCCTCAGTGTCTATTCTAGGATTTGAAAAACAGATTTTTAATGGAAAGTGAGAATTTATTGCATTTGTTGATTTTTTTTCCTGCTTTCCCTACGTAAAATTTTCCTCCTGCCTCTGAAAAAATAGGGGGTAATTCTCAAAAATATGAGTGGATCCACTTATCCCCCCTTCTAGAATAGACACGGTTTTCTGGAATCGCTAAAACTAACAATATTACATGCTGTGGACTTGATATGAAAGGGGTGCAACTACTTCTTTATGTCAAAAGAATTACAACTGTTTTGCACTTACCTCTCAATAAATAGGAGGTAAACAGTAATATAGTTAAGTATCTGTAGGGGAGATAAATTTGTTTCATGTGAGGCAGTAATACTTAAACATATATAATAAAGTATAATGGACACTTAGTAAAGGGAGACAATTCATGTACTGACCTCTTTGCCCCTCCAGCATCAGGGGAGACAATACAAGAATTTCTCCACTCCAGTATGTTGTCTTTGATCCATTTTAACACAGCTGGCTCTGCATACAGATTATCCACTGGAATGTCAAAAAATCCCTGCAGGAAAAAAAAGAAATAAGTAGTCACAAAATGCCAAATCCCCCCAGGCCGTCAAACAAGACAGAAATTAGGATAACACAATTATCCATTGTACACAGTGACATTTGAATGCAGGTCAAAGGGCAATAACCCAAAAAGAACAAAGTCTGTATATGAAGTGAAGAGTTACAGTGCAAACTAAAATCAGATGGCATGGACGTGCAACTTGATCTCAGTCTGCACTGGTCACATGACTAGAATCTGTTTAAGAAAATGAAGTTCTAAGAATGAAAGCTAAATTATGATTTAGTTAGATAATAAATTTGTAACAACTCCAAAATATATTTGTTAAAATCACAGCCATGTCTTTGAATGAATACTCTTCGACACAGTTTAAATATATATTTTTGCAAAGAGTTTGTTTTCATTTTTAAAAGCAGCTTTCTTTCTTAATAAAGTTACTAGTAACTGTTCAGACATTTAAAGAAAATACCAACCTGAATTTGTGAAGCGTGTAGGTCCATTGTAATGATATGATCGGCACCAGCTGTAGACAACATATTAGCAACTAACTTAGCCGAGATCGGAGCGCGACTCTGTAAACATAGATCAAAATAATTAGTTGAAAAAAAATAATATATTTTCAATACACAAAATCCTATAACTATACATTCCAGACAATAATGACCTGAATTGTCCAGTAGATTCAACAAGTCCTTGTCCAGTAGATTCAACAAGTCAAATAGAAACTAATTAAGTCTTCTTCCAAAATAAATCATCCTCTATTTCTTTAAATGCAGTGGAAATCAAATCAGTAAGCTTTACTATTTAACTGACCAAGTGAAACTGTTTTAATACTGTCCTTAAAATCATTTAATAACTGGATGGTTTTCAATAATTAAATTATATAATTTCAAGAGTAACTTAAATTCATGCTTATAAGCAACAAAATATATAATTTTAATAATAATAAGCTTTGGAGAAAACACATGTATACATCAGACCTTATCTTTTTTGTCCTGTCTGGCATACGGGAAACATGGCATGACAGCAGTGACCCGACAGGCAGAGGCGATCTTACACGCGTTGATCATAATCAGAAGTTCCATGAGCATGTCGTTCACCTCACTACAGCCTGTCTGTACAATATAAACATCTTCCCCTCTCACAGACTCTCCTATCTCAACACTGAAATAGAAAAAATATCTTGGCTTTGATCTTACATAGTTGTAGTCTAATATCAAGTCAAATATGTTTATCTTTCATCTGTTATTCCACTGCTGAGCCAAATCTGTAGTTTTGCTTTGCCACCAAAAAAATTGAAAATGGCAAATACATACATGTCAAAATCACAGAGCAGGACATTTAACGGTATTTAATCATCTGTCCGTCCCTTCATGATGACAGGGCATTCTCCTTACACATTTGCTCACCTAAATAGTTTACAGTTCTGAACCATAATTTGAAGTAATTATGCCGTTGACCCGTATTTTCGGGGGGTTAACGTTTTAAATTTAAGCCACCGTTTTTAAATTAATAGTAAGTGGAAGACAAAAAACTTCAGCAGTAAGTTAAAACTATGACAAACAAAAAAGGAACCGTTTAAAATACGAAAATTAACTATTTCAATAATAAATCCTAATCTTTCTACTTTCACTATCGATAGTCTGTGTCGCTCGGAAGCTGTCTCATATTTTCAGGGATTTTGATTGGATAGCCTCGTTTCGTTAATTACGTTACACGCGCTCAAATTCTATACTGCACTCAAAATATTTCGGGACATTGGTTTAAGTTAGGCATAAGTCGCGGTGATGAATTTTTAGGCGAAGATACGTTTTAGGTTCTTTTTTGTTGCTGTGTAGTTGAAAATAACGTATGAAAATGAGAAAAGAAATAATTATAATTGAAATGACATTGACAAAGAACATGAAAATCTTTTGACATTCAACATTTATTTAACGGTAGTAATTGATAGAAATAAGTGTCGGCGAAAACTCAACTGCTTTTTGGAGAGTCTAATCAAACGCACTAGCTGTCATTCACGACCGGAAATGACGCCACGAAAATATGAGAACCCCCGAAAATATGAGAACAAGGCATAATTGACTAATTATACAGTAGTTAAACTAAAATCATTCAAGGCACTATCATTCAAACCATTGTATGGAAATATTCCACTACATTTTCACCAGCCCATAAAATTAGAGATGAAGAGAAATTAGTGACAAATTAGAGTGTCAGATGACATGCTGTCTTAAAGCATCACAATGAAATCTATAGAAATAAAATTATGCCATAGTCAAGGAGGCAGTACACAGTTTCGGCTGTTTAGTTTCGAATTGGCCAGGGTGGAATTCACAAATAAGAGACAGTTTTGAAATTGAAGTGGATATTTGAGGTTCTAAATGTTTATAGTTACTATATTTCAAGTTTCAATGACTAGTATTGTGTTTCAGTTATTTAGTAAAATTGAATTTAGTGGCGTTGACCCTTGTTTTTATGAGAGAGTACCTGTCGGATGCGAACGTGTGGTTTCTGGAGCTAGCCGGTGAATCAGCTCTTCAATTTAAAGGGTTTGCAGAAGACTTAGAATAGTGAAAAAAGTAGGTGGATGGCACCCCGTTTGGATGTTATTTTCAGATTGTGCATTGTTTGAGAAGGAAGAAACACTATAGCTTGTGATTTAAGTTTTTGACGTTAATATATTGTTGTATTTTGCGAATAGGGATAATCCGCTTATTTTGTCGTTGATTTTCGCGACCAAAACAATGAAAAACACAGGGCTGTGTGCCAGAAAACTAGAAGGTGGACATGTATTTTTAATTGTTTGCTGTGAGATACATATATATATGTTAAATATGAAATGCATTTATTTCAGGTGTGTGATTACAGACTTGTGTGTGAGGTTTTGATTGTGGCGCAGTCAGTTGTTTGCCGAGAAGCCTTGAAAACTGTGTATTGCCCCCCAATAGATGCAGACATAGATAACATATAGATGATTATTAACAATTTTAGTTTTAAATAAAAAATTATATCATCGTCTTCAGCAAATGCCTTGATGATATCATAATGAAATGACACAACATAAGTAAATAGAATATGCTCTTTTTCGTTGTCTTTGACCTGATAAATTCTATTTTTGGCATGGTTACAAAAATTTATGATGGTCACAAGTGAAGAAATCGCACCTGCACTCTCCGTTGCTGAATTTTTTGGTGATCACTTTACCCGACTCAATACCAAGGCGGTCACAAATCTTCTGGGTAAGATCAGGATGTGAACTCCCACTAAAAACTTTAATGTTAGGCATTTTTTCTTTCAATAACAAACACTCTTTTGGTGTGTCGTCAGTCATTCACGAGATCCTGCAATTTGTGCCAAGATGACTTTACGGAATCCTCGGTTATTTTCCTTATCGGTTTTTCCCGCAATAGCCTCAACTACAAAACGTTCGGATATGTAGTATCACGGATGATAAATCCGTGGTAGTATTTAGAATTTTCTTAACTTTTAAAGAAAATCCTCTGTTCAATGAACTTATTCACCTATTTTGTTTTTAGGCATAGTGAAGTTTTATATATTTATCTTAAAATAATTTTGTTTACAACAATCCAGTTAAAACTACCAAAATTCAGTGTGCGAAACCAATCGGAGTATCTTGGCTATTATTCTTATCCGACGTTTGACGGAGGCGCCGAGAAAGGGCGATTTCGTGCTAAACGTGCGTAAAACTACCAAAAAGCACAATCATTCTCTAAAAACATTTTTGGAATTTTGCCTTCTAATACATCTAAATTTAATTCCCAGTACTATTCAGAACATAAAATATATAGAACAGTATGTATACATGTACTTATATAATCATAGACTATTAACTGACGACACAATAATTTGTCTTACAACCAAATTTACCAAATTACATTAATTCAGATAGCCTTGGAAACTGGGGATCTGATTTAATTAGTCCATAGAGAATTAAATACAATGGATCGAACGAAACAAAATGGATTTTTAAGGGGATCAAATCCTGCATATCACAGCACGCACCGTTTCCTAAGGGCGATCATACAATATTCATGTACATGGAACCACCCAAGTTGAAAAAGAAAGAGCAAATAATTAAGGCTGCTAAATATTTAGGTGTAACAATGAGGTCACGAAAATTCAATCCTGGATAATATCACATAGGGTCTACATGTATATGACATGGTAGCAAAAGCCAACAAAATTTTAATTAACAGTTGCTCAGTTAGATTTATAAAATAATATGTTAAAATTTTAAAAACAACTGTCATAGAAACTGCTTAAAACATTATGTCAAGCCTCAGTTAGAACATATTTCCACCGTTATATAGGCATCTTTAGCAAAAATGTCGAATCTATAAAATCACAGAGCTAGATATATTAATTTTCTGTATTCCAAGTCTAATAAAATTGATCAAGTCATAATTAAGACCAATTTTGCCAGATAATGAACTTAACGACTATAATTACACCAGGTTTTTTTTTATCTGAAACATATACGTATTTTGTCCCAGGTTGTATATAAAATGTTAACAGATTTTAACTGGTAAATAAGAGCAGAGATGTAACATATTCTCCTATACAGGCCCGTCGTCACGATTTTATGATTGGTGCGGCCTATTTGGTAGGTTTTAGCCAGAATCTAGGGGGGTACGGGGGCATGCTCCCCCGGAAATTTTTTTATTCTATGATGCTCTCAGGGGCGTTTTCCCGTATATTTGGCACAGTTTACAGCCTGTCGCTAGTACATGTTATTATAATATGTCAATGATTTTTTACAGATTTAAGTGCGTCGTAAGGGTTTTAAGGGTGAAATTCAAGGTTGTTTAACATAAATCACACAATGGTATAAGCTTAAATAGAGAATATTTGTTAAGTTCAGTGTAAGATCGGAAAATATTTCACCGAGTGAGCACCAAAAGGTATATTTCACGAGTGGCGCAGCCACGAGTGAAATATGAACATTTGGTGTTCACAAGGTGAAATATATTTCAATCTTACACTATACTAAACAAATTTTCTTTTTATTACATGCAAAGAAACGTTTTTAAAAAGACATTAAACCTTATACTGAATGAAAAGCGCACGAACTAATAAAATAACGTGACGTAATTTACGACGTCACGTCATTAAGTTGGTAACCAGTATTGTGCACGCTGGTATTTCACTAAAACAACGTAAGGGGTTTAAATTCAAAACAGTGAAATAATTTCACTGTTTCAAACAGTGAAATAACCAGTTTTATATCACTGATATATTTCTATAAACCACCGAAAAGCATGTAATAAATAACAATCGATGCCATGATGGAAGAATAGTACATTACGAGTCAACAATAACCGCTTTTTGTTTAGCAGTAACTTGTATTTTGTTCACAATAATCTTACAAAACACAGAGTCTCATTTTATGTAAATTTTCCAAAAACACATCGCCGTAATTCTCTGGTGGTAATGAACTCATCGGCAATTACACGTAAGTTGAGTGAATCTGTCCTGTACTTATGAATATGTAACACCATTACCTAGATTGTTCAAATGTACTTGAGACATTGTTGATCTTAAGTATATATGTCTTTATTCTTTTGAGCGCCGAGAATGTCCTATCGCTGATAACATAAGTAGCAGGCATCTTTAACAAAATGACCTCAGAGAACAGTGCTCGTTCTAGCACTGTCTGTTTTGACACAAATTTCAAAGTCAGGTACAGTAACAGTAATATTTTCTGATTTGTCAAAATGACTTCGTAGGACCCCTACAAATACCTGGTCAATTAACAGTGTCCAGTCATTTTCTGATATTACCGCTCATTGCATAAGGGGCCAATTAAGTGTCAAATTGCTAATCAGCGATGCGTGTTTTTTTTCTGTTTTTGTTTTGTCTTTTTTACTCATATTTGGCCAAAATATTGGTCCGGCCAAGGCCGGACCGGCCGGACCATCGACGACGGCCTTGCTATACAAAATCCAATACTGTCTTGTAAGGGTTAACCACCATGACCAGACACCCACCGAAAACCTGAACTGCTTGATACCATAATTAAAGTAAAACACAGTGTCACTCTTAATCCATTTCCCCCAGAGGTATCCGTCTGTGGAACTGTCTTCCTGCGTCCTTACAAGCTAACCCCAATTCAGACATATTGAATCGGTAGCCGAATCCCTTCTACCAGTTCTTAGTCAATACCGTCCTCTATATTTACTCTCACGTAGTCTTTTTGCTTCAAAACTGCTGTTTTAATATCTACATACCATATATTAAATATTTCACAACTTTTACTGGACAACCTGTCTGCTAAGTGTAATTGTTTATCGTTTTATACCAGTATTGTGTAGGCATAGATGCTACGTGCATTCATTCATTCATTCATTCATTCATTCATTCATTCATTCATTCATTCATTCATTCATTCATTCATTCAGTTTCAGTGAGATTGTTAAATTTGAGTATACAATTTTTGCAGATTGATATTCGCAATCAAATTGTTTCATGATTATTTTGACAGATTCTCTCTTATTCTGTGACTTGAAATTTCCGTCTGCCAGTGGTTAACTACCGTTTCATCCATAAAAATAATTGGAAAGCATCATACACTGTGAAGTAAAATATTCAATATTTGTATGGCCTAGTTACATGAAGGTTTATGTGATATTATGCGTTTTGTGGGTAAAGATCAACATATATTTTCTATTCATAATTTTGCATAATTTTAGAATATGTTAATGGGGTCGAACATACTTTAAGATTAAATAAAAAATGTGTAAATCACAGTCTGAATACAGTACAATGTGGTAAGTGTAGAATAAATTTCAACACTGCTAGACTGTATAACATCAGTTTTCATTTCTCCGACCAACACAATAATATAGACAAAGCACAGTACTTCGAGTAAGTTCGAGGCCCTACCGTATTTCCCACAACGATATGATAGAAGAAAATGCGTGTAAAATATGTGTCTACCACTAAAATGGGCGATGAGCTGTCTTTAATTTCAGAACAAAACGTTGATAGTTGTATAAGTTTGAAAACAGTGAACAAAGTTAACAGCTTTTCTTTTAACTGACAAAGAATTGAAAAGATATGGATAAGATGCAGTTTATTTCATTTGTTTCATGTCAAAGGTGAATGGATAATTAAGCAAATTGATTTTGAACAACCATCTCTATATAAGAGCAATGTTTATATATTAGCTTAGTAAAATTATCTTAACATTCAAATGTCTATAAACAAGCACATGAAGCAAGGGTAATAGACCCATTATAATCGTATCTATAGGATCCCCAAATTTTGTGAAGCTTGCATGAATTCTACGTACCATATGTTTGTTATGTACATTTGGGAACACCTGGATACATTTAATATGTCTCACCCTTATGCTCTAATGTCCATAACCAAAGCAAATTCACTCAAATGAAAGTCATTTACAGTAAAAAGTAATAAAATAGATAAAGTGAGAATCTTAAAGAAAGCCTAACACGGCTAACCTGAAAATGTTTCAGGCTCTGTTTGACCGTGTCTGTTAATGGCCTCTTGTAGTAAATCATAGATTTACATGTATTAATATGTTTCATGTTTTTACACTTTTACATGATTATACCTTTTACCACATTCATATAGCTTTAAATAAGAAGCCCAATCATATATTATAGATAAAACACCAAACTTTTATTCACGTTAATTGACATATACGATTTTCAAAAAAAAACAACATTTGATTCATTAGCAAAAAGGAAAATAAACAACAACAACAACAAGAAGCAACAACAACGACAACAACAAGAAAAACAAAAGTAACAACAAAAAACTGACATGTAAACATGTAAACTAAAATGTAAAATATATACATGGCGGCTGTATTTGTATGATATTATGATATTTGTAAATAATATAGATAAAGATATGAAATATTACATACTAATGAAAATTGATTTTTCGTTTCTTCTAAGCATTGATTTTTTATAGGGATCCTTTTAGTAATTGAATCCCATGATTTTTTTGATGCGTTTCTACAAGAATCAATTCGATAGTCTTAATTTCCTTGCACAACACCTTTTGACATTAATGGCCCAGCTTTATGGAGGACAACTGCTGGCCAAATGCATTGAGAAACCTTGCTTCCTCGTCTAGTATAATGTGTGTACATATTCTTATCAAAGTTGTCACCAGGTTTACTCCAAACAAACTCCATTGGTGGATCTTGCATTTTCATGACCCAGATAAGTTCAAAAGCTTTCTCTAAGAAATCATATAACCCATCAGAAGCTGTAGACCCTATTTTGTCTTTGATCAGTGGAGAAACTTGGCGAAAAATCTGTAAGACATTAAGATGAAATAAATGATACTAGTACACTTATTTATTACTTAGAAGCAAATAAAAGCAACGCTCAAAGAATACTACCCCTACGCAATCAATAGCATGGACAACACTGCACTGCTTTCAATTAATTCGATGAACAATGCTATCTTTTTTTAATCCTTTTAACTTCCAAAAATAAGCTTGTACTTATTGGTTGGCAATTTTCAATCATAGAATAGGTCGAATTTTTTCCTTTCAATTATCATTTACTAATGATTTTCATAATTGACCATACGAAATTAAGTTGTATTTATTAATTGTGTCTGAAGTTCACTTACAAAATAAATTCGAAAATATTGCATTTCATTCATCACTTACTGCAATAAAATCGTAGAAGTTTCAAAATGTTTATAATTTTCACTGCCTTAAATAGAAGTCTTAAAAAAGTCACTGACGATACTAAAAAACTGGAAACAAAGTGATCCCTCGCAAGCATTAATCGCAACAAAATTACAAGAGAAATGCAGACTCGGTTTGATTGAGTCTGTACATGAGGGATAATGAATACGTGCAACATCCCTCACGCCCCTAGCACCGGCTTGAACGGTACTGAATTCTCAACACTTAATAGTGCTTGCATCAATGATCCCGAAGGATCAAAAAAATATAACAACACTGACGTGAGGTCAGGCAACTTTTTACAGCTGCAACACAGCACTTGACACCTGCTGTTGTGAAGTATAAAAATATTGGAAACAAAGTTATCGCTCGGAAGCATTATTCACAACAAAATTACAAGAAAATAGAAGACTCGGTTTGATGAGTATGTACATGATGGATATTGAAAACGTGCTACATCCCTCAGGCCCCCTAGCACCGGCTTTAGCGGTTCTAAATTCTCAACACTTAATAGTGACCCCGAAGGACCAAAACTACAGTAAATTCCTCTGCGTTTTGTATGAATATCTTTCATTTATCACGTCAAACGCATGAAAAGATTTTTATATAGCATGTAGCAATACATAATGAATAGAATTAAATTTGATACAATTACCATCAAAAGCGGTGCCTTTGATATCATTCCAAGAGACTTTCTAAAGTCTTTGAGTAGTTTGTCTGCAAGTTCTTCTTGGGCACTGGTCATGCAAGCTGAATTGGTACATTTCTGGTCACATACATGAAAAGATCACAGTTACTCCTACTTTTACAAACTATCAACCCAAAAGGAACAATTCATTAAAAAAACAAAATAAAAAAAAACCAAAAAAAAACAACAACAAAAAACAGAACATATTCAGTATATAAGTTTTAATTGGTATTAAAACACTCTACCATTTACGTTAAGAAGATAATAACAATGAAGGATATTTTTTATCCCTTTGAATTTACTTTACACTACTTGTACTACTTTATGCATTTATTTGGTTCGATTTTACTCCACACTTTATTTTATTTCATCCTAAGACTTGATGTTATTAAATATCATCCAATAAAACAAGACTTCATTAACACAGATACATTTGTATTATAACATAAAATTTTCATATTAACAGTAAATAAAAAGAAAAGAAAAGCCGGTATTTGTAAGCCACAGAATGCAAATTCTTAAAAAAAGCAAGAACACCATATAGAAATATACAAACCAAAATCTTATCCTTTCTTTCTCCTATTGCATCCGGCTGATACTCAGGATCTCGAATAATACTTTTCGCAGAAAACTTAAGGTTTTCTAATTGCTGCGACCCGGCTCTGGCGCAAAACCGATCTATATCCTGTAAACGTCGAAACATAAAGCGTTTACAAATATGTAAACTCCATTTATAGATATATAAAATGCGTTTATAAATATATAAAATGCGTTTAAAACATTAAGTGTCTTTTCTTATGTTCATTGCTGACCGATTGTCCAGAATTTACACACTGACAACGGAAGCATATATTAAACTTTATACGAATGACAATAAGTTTAATAGTTTAAAGTGATATAAAGTAATCTGATTATATGCTGTTCGCTGTTGAACATTAATATCTTGCTTTTGAAAACTCAAACTTATTAACGGAGTGTTAAAAATTCAAAACTGAGTTATTCATCAATTCAAACTAACATGAGAATTATGATATATCAATAAAAATAACCATGAATGCACCACACACACACACCTTGAGTATACCAGCCAAGAAGTCTATTATTTCTTCTTCATGTTTGAACTTTACTTCATGTTCCTCAAAAGCTCGTGTCCATTCGTTATCGTAAAGTTGTCTAAAATGTTCGGCAATCTTTGTTGGTCTAAATGCATCACTTAGATCTGCTATCCCAGGATTCCCGTCTGTAAGTTTGTGTCCAGCTATCACGCTTAGCCTAAAATAAACAGTATCATGACTGACATTGTATTCAGATGTTTTGTTTAAAGATATACTATTCTCATCGTTGAGTAAATATTTTAATCAAAGAAATTTATTGAAATCTACATAAGTCTAATTTGAATAAAAGAATGAATAAACTAGGTATGGGAAACTGTGTTCCCTATTATGGGACAAATAAAGTGGGTCCTTTCTTAAATAAAGATCCTGTATATTCATATTGTGACCAAACATGGTGTGTATAATTTTAGACATAACATACCTACTAAATAGTCTTTGTGTGAAGTCAAACATGTTTATTTTATATTTACGAAGAGACTGTGTAGCAATTTTTAATATCAATTTTGAGCAAAGGATATCTTTTAACAATAGCTTATTTGTAATCTTGTCATTTATATACTTAATTAAGTACATTCAAATAATTTTACGGATTGAGTAGATTAAAAAGCTTCTCCGTAATCAGTATTTTCACAATTTTTTTTTATAAAAATGGCAACAAAGTATGCAATATATTTGTATAATTGATTTGTGCTTGCTCTCTTATGTATAGATACTATCTTTATAATACGTTTTGATAATTCAACTGAGTTATAAGCGCACATAATTAAGCATCTGAATTAAAAAATGAATACATTGCTTAGTTTATCGTTTAATAACAAGTTTGTTCGAAAATCAGCAATGAAAAATATCAATGAAATCAGATGTTTAGCATGCATAAAAGGTCATATAGTTGATTTGCAGTAATTTTAGCACATGTAAGAAGGTTAATCTCTTTAAATTCATTCATCAAATAAATTACAGAGCTCAAAAATAAGAGCACGGATTACAGAAGCTTGAAAATTGTTTGGGTGTTCAGGCGAAAGAGATAAAATCGTTTTTGTTTGCATTAAAGTCAAAGAATATTAAGGTACGAACCTGTTTCTTAATTCATGCATTTGTCCCATAAGCTTCTTATTATCTTCGTTAAGTTGATCGTTTTGTTGTCGTAGTTTTTCCAGTGCTTTCGACTGTCCTTTATCTTGACTCTTAACATGTTAAATATGAAACTAATTTTGACGTTGGAAACGATAAGTAATTAATAAAAGTCATTTTCATAAATGTTGCATATTCAATTTGGCTGTTTTGCAATTTGAAATATAAACTGTACATGTATCTTTTAATCCAATAAAAACGATAGTCTTTTAGATTGAAATTTACTTTAGAATGTGGAATTTCTTTTCGAACGGCTAAATAGAAAGTGACTCAATAGTTTTAATGGTATATTCTGTTCAAATCAAATGCCTGTAAATTATATAAAGAATGAATGTAAATGTGACTATGCAATTTTATTTTAGAGACTTGTGTATAACCAAGTTTTTCTTTTTCTCGTCATATTTATTTTCATTTGTCGCTTTTCTTTCAAACCCAGTGTTCTTGTAATCATAAAAGTTTTTAAGTACCTTACTATGATCCAGTTTTAGCTGATGTAGCTCATCCTGGAGTTTTCTACACGCGTTCTTGCTGGCTTCAAGCTCTGTCAATACTTCACCTTTTTCTGGCTCATTTACTGCTTTATTGCGTTCTAATGTAAGTCTTTTGATCTCATTTTTTGCCTCATCATTTTCTGCTTGAAGCTTATTCAACGCACACTTACATTTTTTAATCTCTGTTTCGGACTCTCTCAATTTAGCTGTCAGATGTTCGGACATTCTTTTAACATTCTCATGATCTTCTTTACCTTTGGTCTGTAACATAATTTACTGTGGCACACATTTATAATATGATTACACAACTAATACACAATTTTGCCATTGAAATATTAGTTTACGAGATTATTGTTTTTGTCTCAAAGCAAATAAAAACACGGACAATATTAGTTTTATCACCGTTAACAAAATGCGTCTCTCCGTTAACCAGAGAACTTGAGATTTGTCACAATCAAACAATTAGTAATGTCTTTTTCTTTATATAATTGAATAAAAAGTTGATAAATGTACAAGATATTATAAAACACCGCGATAATAACTGACATCTGAAACATATATAACGAGATAATTTTTATACCAAATGTCTTTGGTTTCCTAGAGATTCGGCATTTGTCTGTTCCGCATGCTTTGCTTGGTCACGATAATATTTCAATTCTTGACCCAAAATCTGATGCTCCTTTTTTAGATCATCTAATTCATGTTGTATGTCTTTCTGTCTGCAATCCGCTTTCTAAAGAAAAATACCATTTTTTTTTTAATTTCTATTTATTCCAATGTTCCAAAATTACCAAAGATAATGACTTAGGCGAAGATTACAAATACGCTTCGTCGTGCTAAAACATTGTTATGATATACATATTTCCGCAAAGCATTAGTTCCTTTTAGACACATTATCCCAATGTATTACTTATCAAAGCATCTTCTATGTGGTTCTTGACAAGCAAACTTTATAGGGATTAATATGATATATATAGAGAGAAAAAAATAGCCTTCTGGTTGGAAAACAGTATATTCGTAATTCATTGAATTGATATCCTGCGCCATAGGGATGTTATTTTTAACAAACATGAAAGGACTTACTGGTGTTGCATGGTTAAAGTCGGCGATATCTTTGTATGATTGAAGCTCCATAACAAAGGACTGGTGATAAGCAACTGCGTCCTTCAATTCATTATCCGTAATTGTATTCCCTCTTTTTAGTTGTGTGAGTAATTCAGCCACACTATCACGTTTCGTCGAAATTGCATCACACATTGTATCGCTTTTTAATAAAAACATAAAGGCTAATATTTTCTTAACAAGCTCATATTGTGTTGCGGACAATATTTTATATTACTTAGCATTAGATCAAAAAGTTGACGGACCCGGATCTTGGATTCACGAGTTCATGTCCATGGAAAAACTCATATCTTCCGATAAATTAATCTATTGTGAATAGTGTTCCGTTATTTCGATTGAGTTATGAAGAGAAATTTACAATAAGTTGTGGAGAACATGCAAGAACCAGAGAACATCTCACATAAGGAATAAACAAATGCTGGAAACGGTACATACGGCAGAAATAAAACTAATAATAAAATAAAACCACAGGCTGAATGAAATGAGGGGGTTCATCTGAGATCATGTGAAGTGCAACATTTCTCGTACCCTTTAAACTCGATCGCCAATTAGCTAGGGCATTACAAAACGATTTGTATTTAACTGGTTATATCAATGGTAGCACTTGACAGTACCGTACATGAACAGGCTCAATCAAACCCAAGCCTTAACATTTTCTGTTTTGCCGCTTTGGACTTTCTTTAGGGATTCCTTTTTCTATATTTTAACAGTCTTGTTCGTCGGATCAGAATGTAGGAAATATAAAACAAAGATAAGATGATAGTTTTACACAAAATGCTACTTACCCGACAATAATATCCAAGGAAATAAAATCAAAGTATAGGTATCATTTCAAAATACACGAATGAATACTTATCAATCGATATCACCGTATTCATAAATAAACTTTTTATGTGCATTGTACCGAAAATTTACTTCCTTTTTAGTTTAAAACTGAAAAATACACGATCAGTAGGTTTAGGATTTTATAAATTGTCGCAATTTGTTGAATACATTAAGTCGAAAAGAAGAATATATTAAGCTATATTAAAATAATGTTTATTATGAGTAAGCCTTTAAACTATGTAAGATATATATCAACGAGAAAAAATAGACGTATCAGAGAAATAATGCAATACAATGAATAAAATAAAACATGTTTACATGAATAGTTTAAACAGTTTAATAATATCTTTTTCTCGGGGTAAAGGGTGGGGAGGGTGTTGGTAGCGACTTCATTGGTTTACAGTGAATCTGGTCAAATTAATACAATTTAATTAATCATAGCTTTCTCTAATCCACCAAAAGTAACTTTGATAACAAAATAGAAAATAAAATGAAAAAAAAACGCGTCAAAGTTTGATCAAATAAACATGATAAAGCAAGAAGATATTAATGCTAGCTGGAAAGATGGGAAGCTATGTTGTAATAAGTTTTAAAGCTACATCCATTGTTTCATTATTGGGTCAGGTTAAGAAACATACTGCATGCCTATTGCATTGATAATATATATTACATGAGATAACGTATATGAATAAAATAGGATAAGGTCGAAACAACTTCTCCTTATATTATTGTCTGGGGACCTTTCTGTTTAAAATTTGTCAGAGTTAAATCGTATACATATACATGCACAGTGCGTTAACTGGAGTGCATGTATTAGTTACCCGCACTCCAGAGCATACCCATTGACTGGCATTTTTATGGGGTTTACTTACTGTGATGGCAGAGAAAGGGAAAGAGATAGAAATATCATATTTAGATGCTCGTTCATTGGTTACTGATAATGATAAAGGTCAAGATATATGAACAGTTGAAAGTTAAAGTAAATGTTTGAAAATATCAAACTTATTCGAGAATGCTTATAATGAATTAAATGAAATGAAATATATCTTGAGAACAGAAGATGAGAATTTCATTCGGTCAGGTTTTAATGGCAAGAATAGTTTGCGAAATGAAGCTGTTGGGAATCGTTTCCTTATCCACACTTGCAGAGAAAATAATTGGTAGTGTATAAGATAATACTAGCAATCCCTTTGCTTTCTTTATTATTGCTAATTTGACAATGTAATTACATGTACCAGTAACATCGAATAATATGCCACGTGAAGTGGAATGAGATGTTGTCTTTCCATATATATTATATCAAACTTATGTTATTAGCCTTAACACAGATTAATGTGTCTCATTGACAGAAGATATGTTGATTTTGCATGACTATGACATCAAACTTACTTTTTTTACTAGTTACACCGATTTTTGTGTCAAATAAAGAGAAATGATATGTTGATTTTACATGATTATCATATCGGACTTATGTAATTGCCAGTAACACCGATTATTGTGTCACATGAAGAGAAATGGTATGTTGTCATTCATTGACTATGATATGGGACTTACTAAAAGTGAACTAATTAATATAAGTACAAGTAGATCTACCCACAGACAAATGACCTTTCCATGATAAAAAGTCGAGAGAAAAAGCTTATTTCATTAAAGTAAAGAATTTATCATACACATTGGTTTTTGAATAATTATCTCCAAGTCTATGTAAGTACACTGTTTATTTGCATTGCAACATTGTGCTCTCACGTCCATGAAATGTGTTCACGTTGCATCCAAACGTACTAGTATGATATTCATAAGCAGTAAGAAGTAGTAAAATAGACAATGTGAAAATCAAATCAGCACAAACGAAACTTCTGCAGGATCGGTTTGATTGAGCCAGTTCATGAACGTTCGTGATAATTCATATATTTACTTATTTTCTTTGTCATTCTCAATCTTTTATTCTATCAGATTCACATATGTTCTTTTATGCATTGTGCATTACGAATAAAATACTAAGCACTCAAAATTTAATTCACGTCAAAATTCACTTTAAAAATATATCAGTATAATCACAAAAACAGATCATTTTACTTATCCGTTATCACAAACAATCGGGAAATGGCAATCAAAAAATTAAACAGAAATTGTGTATAAATGAATGTATGGCTTATTGAATAAACATAGACATTTTGCCTCTCTTTAAGCCGTATTGTTCACAGGAAAACCCTTTTAAAACTTCATCTTATCATACTTGAATGTTATATTTCAGGTACCTGCTTTTTGCAGTTCTATATACAACATTCTATAACGAATGATTTAATTTCCTTGCACAACACCTTTTGACATCAACGGTCCGGCTTTATGAAGGACGATGGCTGGCCAAATGCACTGAGCAACCTTGCTTCCTCGTTTAGTATAATGTGTGTACATATTCTTATCAAAGTTGTCACCAGGTTTACTCCAAACAAACTCCATTGCTGGATCTTGCATCTTCATGACCCAGATAAGTTCAAAAGCTTTCTCTAAGAAATCTTCCAATCCTTTCGGAGGTTTAGGCCCTATTTTGTCTTTGATCGATTTAGAAGCTTGGCGAAAAATCTGTATGTGAAAAAAATAATACATAATATACTTAACACCAGTCTTAGATGCACATGTAGAGCAATGCTCAAAAACATTTCTTCTAATCAAACAAAACATATTTAAAACAGTGGTAAATGCAAAATGATTCTGGGTGAAATGGGTTTTTTTTTGTGGTTAAAAAATGTAAGAACATAAAGACAAAATTTCACATATATACATATCAAATAAAAATATCATTACTTGTAATAAAATAAATTAAGTAACTTTCTTCGTTCTCTTCTACAAAGTTAGCATTGCACGTAAAGTAATAAAATTTGCAGTATGTTATTGCAGTGCAAGATAAAAGTTTCCGAACAATAATGTCGTACAACATAAAAACGTTGAACTAAATAAAAGTAAAATCTTATCTACAAAAATAATATGTATTGCTATTCATTAATTTCTTAATACATACAGCCATATTGATTGATTTATACTCAAGTATTAATTTATCAATTTAAGAATGAGTATTTGTACAATTTTGCAGATAGTATACAATCTCTTTTTGTAAAAATAAGACGCATTACCACCAAAAGCGGAGTCTTTGATATCATCCCAAGAGACTTTCTAAAGTCTTTAAGCATTTTGTCTGCAAGCTCTTCTTGTGCCCTGGTCATAGGAATTATCTGGTCACATTTCTGGATCAAGCCAATGAAAAAAAAAATGACAGTGAGAATATTATTCATCCCTTTGTATTCTCTATGCACTACTTAAAGCCTCAAATGGTTTCTTCAATGATAACACAAACTCCACAATATGTCAATTTGTGATATATATTTTATTCATGAATATTTCTTAAGATATTAGTAAATGAAAATTGTATGAATGAATTTATTTATTATTTTTAAAGAAGTTTGTTTTTGTCAAATTATTAAAATTTTGTGATAATGTCATTTAACTAGACATATTTTAATGGATGTTGTTATTTTACCGCTTTTGTTTTTGTTCATTCTCATACTCGATCTTCTTAAATATCTGGCAATGACAACATGATTTAACACAGAAATGAAGTTCATCTCAATTATAACATCATTAAATTATCATATACTGAACCAGAAAAATAGGAAGATAAGAAAAATTGTTTACCACTGTATTAATTTCTTTACGGATATATTTAACAATAATAAAAATCAACACACATGAATTAAATAAATTAAATAAATTTGAAAATTATACATGTACATACCAGCACCTTATTCCCCTTTTCCTCTTTTGCGTCTGGCTGATATTCCGGATCTTGTATAACAAGTTTCGCAAAATACTTCAGGTGTTCCAATTGCTGAGAGCCTGCTCTGATACAAAACCGATCAATATCCTACAATCAACATATATAGAGATTGATATTTATATAATGTAAATAATTTTGCATCCCTAAAAAGATAAATCGTAGGAATCAGTGTACATGCATGTAAATATAAAAATTAAGCTTTTCCCAAGGAAGATTATGTTAAACTATCTATGCAAATGATTATAGCGCCGGATCTGACCCAATAGTGTTTATTGTTGATTCTTAGTATTTTTTATATTAAAAACATACTAAAAATGAAGAACTCTACATTCATATCTTTATACAAAGAGAATAAATACAAGACACAATATTAATCAACATATTGCGGCGCACACAAACCTTGATTATACAAGCTAAGAAGTCAATTATTTCTTCATCTCTTTCAAATGATACTCCAAGTTCTTCGAAAGCACATGTCCACTCGTCATCGTAAAGTTGTCTAAATTGCTCCGCAATATTTGTTGGTCTAAATGGATCACTAAGATCTGCTATTGCAGGGTTTCCATCCGTTAATTTGTGTCCAGCCAAAACACTCAGCCTAGAAACAGCATACTGCATTATTGGATGATTCTCCTCTGTTTTATTTAGCAGGCTCTTAATACGACAGACGCAGAGAAGTTTTGCGATGCATTATGTTGTCTATATTTGATATTGAAGCCAGTAGAAAACTGGAAAGATTAATTTCTCAAAATTTTCTCCTAACGTTGTTTTGTCCCTTCAATGCAAAATCAACTTTTGATTCAAATACTTTAATTCATACGTGATATAATTTAGAGGTTAATACTTGGTTGCTGCTCGCCATTATGCGATAATGACCCGAAGATGTACATAATGGCCTGAGGGCCGCAGGCCCGAAGGGCATTATGAACTCGAGGGCCATTATCGCATAATGGCGAGCAGCAAACAAGTATTAACGTCTTTAATACCTATGTCTTAGACAACGCTGCTAATCTTGGTTGTCGCCCTTTCTAAGAAACGGACAGTTGTCAATATAAACAAATATTTGTCTCATCCAGCTTAACTCTCCGATTAACTTGAAAACATGACAACACAAAATAAATATTAGAAAATGTTGTTTTTTTATTGATAAATACAGTATCCTATTCTTTACATTTTTGTAAGAATTACATTAAGATTTATTGCCAGTTTTTTATGAAGTTTTGTGCCTTCAAGAACGGTTTCTGAGACTGATGTCCGAGTCTAAATGCCACCGATCCGATCTTTTTCCTACTGTCAATCTGAAATCATTTTTGGAATTTCTGATGGTCATGTATTGTCTTGAGTTTATAAATCATTAATTTTAAGAGGCATTGTGATTGCTGATTGTGATTAATTTTATGTCATTTATGTGCAAATGACTACAGTCCATTCAACGTCAGCAACCATCTTGAAAGTCACTGAGAGTTGATGACGTCATTCTGCTTGAGCGCTCATTCACTCGCCTATTATGGAAAAATAATGCCGAGTAGCAAGGCGGCCAAAATTGCATAATAACCTAGATCTTGCCATAATGACCCTGAAATACCCAAAATTTTAAAGTTTATTAACATTACACTGCTACATTTTTAAATAAACTTACCTTTCATGTAAAAATATGCAATTTTCATAAATTTAACGGGTAGCTGTTTGAACAAATACAAGGATGTTTTAAGTACCATTACCTATTCCTCAATTCGTTTATCTGCTCTGATAACTTCAACTTGTCTTCTTTCAGTTGTGTATTTTCCTGTCGTAGCTTTTCAAAGGCTTTTGGTTGAGTTTGTTCTTTATGCTGAAAAGAAGATTAAATATACTAAGAACAAATAAAAAAAGAATCAAATGAAGAACAGTAATCAGTAGGTTAAAACTAGAAAACACACACATGTGCTAGCATAATATAAAGACGTGCAAACGTTAAAAGTCTCGGGGGAAAATAAGTGTCTAATAATTTTTAAATGTAACAGATTTAAGGAAAATAAAATGATAATATTTAATACCTGATGGTGCTCTTCGTTTTTATGTTCGGCTCCCTCATATATTTTCCTACTAAGCTTCTCCTTATTTGTGTAGCGGTCAATTTCATTTTTGTAATCTAACCTTAACTTTTCAAGTTGTTGTGCTAGATCTGCTGAACTGGCTTTGTAATGATTGAGACTTCTTATTGCTGCCTCGTAATCTTTCGTTATCTTGTCAAGCTGACTCTTTATGCTTTCCTTTTCACTCTTATATTGTTCAAGTTGCATTTTTACCGGAGTATTTTCATCTCTTTGCTTTTCATACTGGATCTTGAAGTTTTCTATTATATCCTCTGACTCTTTCAGCTTTTGTTTAGTAAACTGGAGATCCAAATGCGCTTGTTTCAGCTCGGCTGCTAGCGTTTTGATTTCATCACTGTGTTCATACTATGCAGTTGTAAAATAGATTATATTATTAGTTGTTCCTGTTATGTATTAAGTTTGATTTAACTTCTGATTCAGTAAATGTGTGAAAACTGGTTCTTATGAGATTTTTATTTACTTTGAAGCAAATATGCTATGCCTAGTATCATAAAGTTTACAGCTTTAATCAATATGAAATGATGTAAATTGACATTTTTGAAGCAATTTGTTTTCTATTTAAACTCTGGAGCTTTGAAAGTGTAAATACATGAATCATAGATCATAGATAGAACAGATCAATAACATTGAATTTCTAGTATAACAACTGACACGTGATACATGGTTAATCCCTTTCAGACAATGTGTTACGTCAGTGTATTAAAATGAAGCGCTTCAAGTACATTTGGAGTAACGCTTCGGTCAAAAAGTTTAAGGTAATTCTGATAAAGGAAAATGATTCTAAAAGAATTCACTTTTCCCAAAGTCCTCTGTCAGTGTATGAAATTTGAAGAAAATCGCTCCAGTTTTTTATATTTAATCCAGACAAAAATGGACCGACGGAGAGCATTCTTATTATCCCCTTTGACTTTGGTGGGGGAATAAACAACATATAAAGATAGGCTTATATACCTCTTTCTCAAACTGTCTTGTATTCCCTATGGTCGCGGATTCAGAAGCTTTGCGCACGTAGTAATCTACCTCTTTACTTAAAACACGATTATCCACCTGGACTTGTTGTAATTCCTTATTAAGATGACCAGTGGCATTGTCCTTGTTCTTTCCAAAAAAAAAAAATAGATAAAAATTGAATAAACATGCTTGAATGGTGAACAGTAAAATAAATGGCATTTTTAGATATTAAGAGGATTTTTTTTTCGTTTGAGTGAAATATGGAATACATTTTCTAGGAATATGACACAACTCCATACATTTTCATGAGCCAGAACGGCGGACTTTTATCATGTTGACTTAAAATATATCATAGAAGACACGAAGACGAAAAAATACTTTAAGTTAATTATACCATGAAGAAAAACAACAATTGATTATACGTCAGCGAGTGAACAGTTCACAATTTAATGCCGTGTTGAAAATCAACAGTATTATTATTTGTGTAGATGAAATAAATAACTGAAACTATTGACTGTCTAAGATAAAAAAAATGTGGAAGTACTCGTATTCCCTAAAAAAATATGAATTTTGAGTCAGCCGACTTTCATATTTATTATTCATATTTATCTTTAACAAATATGAAGTGTATTTTACTTATATAGCACCAATTTCAAGGGCGAAATTAAATAAAAAATTTTTCAGAATGACTATTACAGTGCTTTTATCATCAGTATTTGAGAATGTTACCTTACGATCGCACACGATCTGACATGACTCATAATATAGTTGTTAACATTACTTAATACAACGTTGTATGAAAGGACAATTTTATTGCAATTTTGTTTTTCATTCGGTACGCTAGATCAATGACTAATTTGGTGCTGTCATGTATGCGTCTCAAAGAACTATTTTGATGTCCACGTTTTCCATGTCCTTTTATATTTCAACATTATAATACAAAATGGTGTTTCACAATTAATGCAATTCGACATTTCATACTAATCTTGACAATTTGCAATAAAACATTTACTTTATTCAAAACAATGTATTCTCGCTTTGCCTGTACAGAAAGATTGAAAATTTTAAAATCTATGATTGTAAAAAATATTTTTGATGATCTTTAAATGGTTTATTCTTAAGACGTCGGAAAATTTCCAAGCCGACTGTTTTATGAAAAAAAAATTATACACAAAAAATTCAAGAATTTCTTTATAAAGAAAAGAATAAGTCACACGGAGCCAATATTTGAGAAGAACATGTTTATCTTATTCTTATATTTCTTTGTCCACTAACCAAATAAGTATTGTCCTGTGCGACAAAGCATGGTCATTGCACAAGTTGTCCTGTGCGACAAAGCATGGCCATTGCACAAGAACATGTCCGTCATACTTTTTCAAACTTCTAATATGAAAACATGTGTTCAACTTTTGTTATTTTCAAAAAATTAATAAATTCTGAAACACCCCTAGTATTCTTGTACTTACAATATTTTTTCCATCAAGTTCACAAAAATCATGTAACGCTTTTTTTTCATCGATGATTGACTGATAAAATTGCAATGCTTCCTGTACTTGACCCTTCGTAAATTCTTTACCCTCTTTAAGTTGACAAAGAAGACGAGCGACTTTATCGTCCATTTTATCTTCAATGAAACAAAATCATATCATTATTTTTGCAATAAAAGACAAAATAAAGATTACAAGTAACAATAAAAGTACGTTTATCATTGTTGAAATATCAAAGCAAGTATATGCATATGGAATAACAATTTATCGTTTGGGTGGTCAAGGATCTATCGCCGCTGATTTCGAGTCGTTAGCCTCTTATCGCTGTAGATGGGACGTGTGCTCATTCTACAGAATTAATGAATTTTAATTACGGTAGGTCCAGCTCAAGTGATAGCTCATGCCGGAATTAATACACGAATGAGCAGCCTAGGTGTTAGAATGTTAGAATTACATTTTGAAAAATGAAAAATACGAGTATATCCAGAAATACTTAAGACTTATTATCACAATAGTGCCTTTTACTTCATGGTACGTATTTGCTTTACATTTTGAGTGTAGTTGAAAGCACTCCATATGGCACATTTTATATTGTTATCATCTTACACATATTAATCAATTTCCATATCAATAATACAAACCCAGTTTTGGAACAATTACTCCATCGAAAGACAATTAAGAAGTCCTTTATGTAGTTTACTTATGAAGAGAAATGGTAAATTTGAAAATAGCTTATCCTTGTCACTGGTTGTTTAAGAATATGAAACAGAAAATTTTCATCATTTAAACTAAAGTTTAGATAAACATTTTAACGTAAATAATTTATAATAAACTAAATTTAAATAACGTTTCACCTGTTTCAATGTCAATCGAGCGTACCATATGAACTACACTAATAAATGGAAAAATCTTTCATGTAAACATCTTTATTTACTTCCTGCTTTGAGTTGTGACATAACGCCTATGTAAAAAAACATGCTAAAATACTATTAATAACACCGCACGCTTTTAAAGGGGCATAACTCCAAAAATATTGCTTCCAGAATTTGCACCTTGTCTGACAACTGCAATTTTTCATAATGAGAAAGTAAACGATACCAAGGTTCATGTAAAGGTATGATCCACCTAATGCATGACCTCCACTTTGAAGAGTATTCAAATAGGCTAGAACTACTGTCAACTGCATTATAACTGAGGGGCGTGGGTTCAAGCGGCAACTTTTTTTTCTTTTTCTTTTTTCTTTGAGCATTATTTGTGTCTCTCATATCACTCTTGAGAAGAAAAAAGCTTTTCATTTTAATTATGAAATTACTATTGGTATTTATTGGCTAACTTGTGTCAAATTTTTTATCAAATATGGTACCTGTTATTTTCAAAGTCTAATAAAATAAAAACTAGACGGTAAAAGTATTTTATATTTGACAAGCGCAACCAATATACTTATTAAAAAATTTATGCAAACTTTGAAAACAGTCCCTTATTTGAGTAAATTTTAGGGATATTTTGAATAAGGCGCACCAAGTAGAAAAATGATCAAACAAGTACTTAAAATGGGTGGGTAGGGTAACATTTATAGACATATTTCAAACATTTTGAGTAAAAACAATTATTTTGCTGGGTCATTTGTTAGCTGAATGCTATTATTTGTTTCTCAAAAATGTTCTATAGGAAAACATTTTTTCATAATTATTATAAAATAGAACATTTAGAGTTTCTCATTTCTGAAAAAGAGCCCTTCTAATAGCCCAGTTTTACTTAAGAAAAATCTCCATAACTCGTAAACCATACGGTAAACTTTGTTTAAATTTTGCTTTCTTATGTCTTTTAAGGTATATAATTGACCTATGTTGTCAATTTTATAGTTCCTTATAGTGCCCATTAGGGGGCTCATACCTTAATAACTTTTAAAATGTTTGAATAATGGGCTACCTTAAAGGGTTTGCACGACGACAAAGACGATCATAATATCTCGACTTTTTCATCTAGACAGAAAAATGCAAAATAATCATTTTCTATCAGTCTGTGGTCACTTCAAGAAAATATAGCATTTATCTGAAATAAAAGACGCCATTTTTACTATGATTACTATGAATAAATTGTACGTAAATAAAAAACACGGAAGAATCACTGCAGCACGTGATTCTAGCTACTGACATTGATAAAAAAATTTGAGTTTGCAAATAGTTAAAATTCACTTTTTTTTAGTGACTAAAGCAAAAACAAAGTGATATTTATTAGAAAACGAAAAGTTGGACATGCATTATTGATTGTTTGGTGGGAGATAATTACTTACGAGTTTGTTTATGGTGATTATGACATACATTTATTTCACGTTTGTGATTAAAGGTTTATGTTTAAGTTTTTGACTGTATCAGTTGTTAGGCGAGAAACCTGGATAATTGTGCATTGATCGTTACGGCTTGTTTCGGATTTCGGTTAAAAACCTGCATCCATTAAAATGATATTGATGAAACAGGATGTATGAACGATGTCTGTCAAAACGATTGACCTTTTAATTAAATTATTGAGTTTAATACTTGTTTAAGATTTTAAAAAATCTGGACAAAGTTAACACTTTACTGAGACCGGTATAAGAGTCATGAGAAAAGCAGCACTTTGCATTATTGCTTATTAAAACAATCAGCCCGATTCTGCGACTATCATTTTTTTTATTACTCTCCTATTACTGGATGTATGACAGTATTAATCTTCATCATATTTTGGTTCCTATTGTTTTAAAAATATCACAAAAACAAGTGCATTACCGTATTCAAGATTTGCAACTATTTTTGTTTATAAAGCTGATAAAAATATTATGTAAGAAAGCTGATAAAAATACTATATGATGGTGTTTGATATCTTTAAATTAAAGGCATGCGCATGCATATTGACCAAAAAGGTCAATCTTATATAACATTCACAATGTCTCATGTACCGCAAGAACGATATGTTTCATTTCACTTCTTTATGGATTAATTTTAGTGTAATGTGGAAGTACAATTGCTCGCATAATTGTTGCATTTACTCTTCACTCCATTGCCCTTTTCTATTCTATATTTTTATTGATGATATACGCACATGCATAATACCAATAATAAAACACCAAACACTACTTATCGAGAAAAGATTGATAAAGAGATACTGTCAAAAGATACAGTAAAATTTTCTCCTAAAAAGATGCGATTTTTTGTTTGTTTGTTTTGTTTTTGGGTTTGTTATTGACATCGATGTTCATCATTTAACTGGCAAGATTTCTTTTGTTATCAACGGCTATTATTTTGCTTGTAATATCCCTTTTGACATCAAAGGGCCATTCTTGTGCAGTAACACAGCCGGCCATACTGTTTGGCTGACAATATCTCCCCTTTTTGTGTAGAAAGTAAATTTATCTTTGTCGCACTTTTCATCTTGTGACTGCCATTGTGTTTCCATTTGCGGATTTTGAATTTTCATCAGCCATACTATTTCAAATGTTTTAGCTACAAAAGCGTCAGTTTCCCTTGAAGATGGTGGTAGTTTATTTATCTTTCTAAGATTACACATAAACCAGCCATCAAATATCTGAAAAGGAAGCGTTTATACTTTTATGTACATAATAATTTGGAGTCTTGAGAAATAGGAAAAAATATCTGCATTTTATTACATATTATGTTATGGAAACTGAGTTGGTGTATTATATCTACTGGGTAATGATTAATCACTACAATTAAAGTGTAAAAAGCCTTTTCTAACAACAATATTTCATATTTCCATAATGTTTCTTTCTTATATAAAAAAAATGTATTAATTTATCAAAATTTCGAGATAAGGAATGGTTGATGTATGATCACAAACAGACGCACACACAAGGTTAGTATTATGCACACGCGTGCTCACAAAACACACTTCCATGGTAAAATACAAAAACTTTTAATTGATCACCTGAACCAATGGCCTGACCGAAAGTACTCCCACTGACTTTCTTAGGTCATGAATTATTTTCTTGGCTGTTTCCTTCTGTCCATTAGACATTTCTGAAGGGGTTTTGCATCGCTGTATAAAAGTAAAATAGAGAACATGTATGTTGTTAGTTAAACATGTTTAATAAACCTAAATTTTGATTAAAGATTGTTAAAGATTGAAATAATGTTTACTCTCCAATCCACTATCTTTAATTAAGCAGTACTGATTTCATATTTTGAAATATGCTCATGACCCGAGAGGTATCTTGGTTCATTTTTTGTAATCATAAAATAGTATTAGATTTTCAAAACTTATATTATCTAGATCGCTAGGAATCCGAATATGGAATTCAATGCTTTGCTATCTTAAACTAATTGATGACGTTGACATACAAGCGTTTGATTTTCATCAGTCACAACTTTTGGATTCACTATTTCATCTGTACAAGTACGTGCTATGTCCTTGATCTGTTTTTCGCTGAATCTAGTGCAAAATATCTCAACTTGCTGTAATACAAGAACTATAATAATAATAATCACAGTTTAAAAAACAACAAAATAAACATCCTTTATATTGTATCTATATCTTTAAATTTATCAGACTGAGGATATTTCTAAAATACACTCTTTGACAATAAATGTTTAAAGAAAACCGAAAGATTGTAACTTTATTATTCAAACTGAACATCCTTATTGACTGAGTTTTAGTGCATGATATAACTATTTCTTTCTTAAATTTCTATCTTATTATTATACAATTTTTAAAATTGTAAAAGAGTACAGTGAGGGCTGGTTTTAATGCTTCAAAACCCACTGGTTGTCATTACCGACATGAGGTATCTTAAAGTAGCAATAACTTTCATCTCATCCTTTAAAAACACGTCCAACTCTTCAAACGAGCGAGTCCATTCTTCATCATATACTTCTCTAAACTTTTCCGCCAATTTTGTTGGTCGAAATGGATCGCTTAAATCAGTAATATTTGGGTTACCATCTTGCATTTTATGTCCAGCCAATGTACTTAATCTGAAAATGTATCAAATTTAACATATACATCTATTTTATCATAAGTTCGTTTCCTTGTTAGAATCATATGATTATTTATCAGTATTTAGTATATTTCATATTATTTGAAGCTGTTTCTTAAATGATTATCGTTCATAATGAAATTATAAAGATTTATCAATGTTTATCCTTTTTGTAAATTAGCACATGTCTTTCATAATTATACATAATATACTATAATCATTCTAAACGATATAACTATCGCAACTGGCTAAAGACATCCTATATAATTGCAGTCGTAATTGGTAGTTTCGGTCCTTTTGATGGGGCTTCTTGTACCCGAGTTGACGCTATAAGCGAGTATGCTTAACAAAGATTTTAAGATAAAAAACAAAGAAGGGATCTAGTAAGAGTCTTCATTATATCCGAGTTTGTTATGAGTGATTTGTAAACACGAATATTTCATCCATTATATGTGTTTAGTTCGTACCTCGTTTTAAGTTCTTCATTCTGCTTCAGCAATGATTCATTTTTAAATGCAAGATCTTCTTTTTCTTTCCGTAACCTGCCAACAAGATTTGGAGAATCCTGTGCGTAGAAAAATGTTAATATTTAAACCACAATATAATAAGTTTATTCCCATTCTCTATTCTTTATCGATAATTTAAGATCGTAAAGCAAAATTTGCTACACAAATATAACAACTGTACACCTTATATTCTTATCTGGAGATTGTATAAGAATTCCTAGAAAAAAAAAGCTAAAAGACTTTCCTTAACAAAATATTACACTATTTTTGTTTGTTTTGTTATTGACAACTTTGTCGTCTATCTATCTATCTATCTATCTATCTATCTATCTTTCTATCTTTCTATCTATCTATCTATCTATCTATCTATCTATCTATCTATCTATCTATCTATCTATCTATCTATCTATCTATCTATCTATCTATCTATCTATCTATCTATCTATCTATCTATCTATCTATCTATCTATCTATCTATCTATCTATCTATCTATCTATCTATCTATCTATCTATCTATCTATCTATCTATCTTACTACCTACCTAACCACCCACCTACCCACCCACCTACCCCACCTACCTACCTACCTACCCACCCGCCTACTTACCTACCTATTTAAAAAGTTTTCTTTTGTCAAGCACTACAATCTATACAAATGGTAATAGTTACTGAGAAGTGTAGCTTCGTTGATAGCCGTGACAACAAGTTATTTGTAAAAATCAATTTTAATATAACTAACCTTTGATAACTGTTTTTCCTCTTTTTCCTGCTTGATTTTATAATATGAGCTCTGGTGGTCTACGTAGAATTTTTTATACCTCCTAAATGATTCCATGAACTCTTTTTGTTCATTTATAGCCTCGTCAAGTGCCTTGTCTGTCCTGGCATTGTTTGTTTTCAAATATAATAAATAATCCCCGACTTTGTCTGTATCCACATTTTCTATAGGTTTTGATGACATAATTATGTGGCAAATATCTAATTTTAAATACCGAAATCGACAAAGTTAATTTTGAAATAAAGCAAAATGTAACTTTAATTTTGCAGTCAAGTTAACGTATTAAATTTTAAAAAACGTTTGAATGTGTTATTTATTGAAAAAATTTAATTAACTTCCGTTTTCGGTTTTACATAGATCAATCAATATATAAACGCTTGATTGATTAACAGATCAATACTACTAGGCTAGTTCTTAAATCACGTTCAGTTTTGATCATATCGATTTTAAACACTTCACATAATGTTATCAGTTAATATGTTTGAAAATAGGTTCAACGGTTTTACATGAAGTATAGAAACTGCTATACCGATGTAAAGGACATTATTTGTTTACTTTTATTCCGTTTCAATAATATTAACAATATTAATACCGATGTAAAGGACATTATTTGTTTACTTTTATTCCGTTTCAATAACATTAACAATATTGTCGATATATCACATGAACTGAGCTTTGAGCTGTTCACTACTTTATAAAACAAAACAGTCACTCGTGTATGCAATCATTTGAACATAAGAATTGTATGATTAAGTTAGAATATTTTTAATTAGCCTAAAAGCTGTTGGTAGCTTAACTATTGTATTTCAAATCCCCAGAACTTTAAAAGGAAAGTTCGGAATCAAAGCAGCTAATATCCATAACATTAGGATTAAAAAATATCAACATTAAACAACGAAACCTTATTTTGTCTTGACACAGTGTTCGTAGTTTTGGAAATGCATCAATGTAATCATACAAGACATATTAACATACCTGCCACGTTTGGGTTATTTAATTATTTGTTATTTTCATAATAGAATTGCCGTTCTTTGAATTTCGGAAGTTAAATAATGTTCAAATGTTTTCAAAATTGAGCTGGTCAATAGGCCTGTCTCTATATTTGCAGTCAGTGATATTCCCCAGCAGGTAAAGGATTAACATTTCGCACCCTTTAGTATTATCATAGCCGAATTCAATGTTAAATCCTCTGGATCGGATTCGGAACAAGGTCTCTCAAATTGTTAAATTTCAACTTACCGAAGAACATTAAAGTGTTTCCGAAAGACGATAAATTAACTGATTAAAGGGAAAATAAATTAATAATGTCTCCATTATATCTAACCATATGAATGGATAACTCTTCCCTCGGCCATATCTTAGCCATTTAATTTGTGCTCCGTCAGAAGCTTAGTTTAGTTTTGCAGACATCAATTTTGTTTAGTCATTTGTATCAATTTACAAAGGTAAGTGTATCTTATATATAGGAACAATATAATTGTCACATTTCATCTGGGAACAAATTATTTACTGATTCAAAAATAACCGTATTAAGAAATCAAAAACAAAACTGCATACACATTCAAACAAGTTAGGATCTTACATAACAATATTTAGAAACTGATTTTAGTCTTATTGACCACATACAACCATAATATTTTATAACATTGTTTAATATATGTTTAAGAGGTCAGCACGTAGGACCCTGCGTTAGAAAGAGGTTATGATCGTCGACTTTGGACTTCTAGCTAAAGTCCCTTGCCGTTTTTTGGACTAATGAATAATTCTGAAATAATGCACAAGGAGGAAGAGCCGGAAAGTCTACATTCAGATCCGTTCGACTTCATTATAACAAACAAAACTCAACGGAATACAGTATTATATCAAGCATGCACATCAAATTTCTTTTAAAAATATCACATTATTTTCAAATATAATCTAAAAAAATAATACATTATAGTTATACAGTATCAAATATATACAACATCCTTTTTTTCTGTCGTCTGCTCGGATATTTAATGTCCTTTTATTGTGCTTGAACGACACCTTTCGACATCAGAGGTCCGGATTCATGAAGTAACACTGCAGGCCATACTGTTTGTTTAATTGTATTCCCTCTTTTTGTATAGAAAGTGAATCTTTCTTTGTCAACCGGTTCACCACACTTCTGCCACTTTAATACCATTGGCGGGTTCTGAATCGTCATCAGCCATATAACTTCAAATGCCTTTGCTACAAAATTTTCAATATGTTTGGAAGTGGATGGTAACTTCTCTTCCTGTTTCATTCTTATCACCCATTTTTCATGAAATATCTGAAAATTTATAAATAAATGGTTTTTGAAGTGTGTTTTTAAGTCGGTTCTATATCATACCGAATCATTTATTCACATACTGAATAAGGTGGGAAAACAACAAAGTCAAAACTGACAATAGAAGTGTTAAACATAATAATAATAATAAAATAAATAATTTCTCAAAAACCTCCAACACAAAATTCAAAATGCCACAGGCAAGGAGTTATTGAGCCTGTTTATTAAGTTTTTTTATAAACTTGTCAGTTGTTGTAAAAGGGAGAAAAAATTATTTGATTAGATTACCTGGACCAATGGTCTAACAGACAAAGTTCCCATAGACTTCCTCAGGTCACATATCATTCTGTGTGTGATTTCTAACTGTGTATTATTCATCTCTGATGGTGTCTTTCCGCACTTCATGTTTAAAAGAAACATCAGGATTACTATAATTATACTGAATCATACATTCTAAAAGTTAAGAGTATTTTAAAATACGATGTTCAACACTTTTAAACAATATAAATTTTTTTTAGTGTTTTGCCTTTTGTCAGCTTCACGATATCCGCCAATATTGATGGAATAAGATTTCATATTGTCATATCCCAATTATATTTCTGAGAATTTGCCTTTTAAAGTTGTAATCTTCAAGCTTAAATTATAATCATAATTACTATAAAATGAAATAAGCTTAAATTGTAACCATAATTACTATTAAATGAAATTGGAATCAACATTGAGAACTATAAAAAGGTATCAACATCATTTATCGGATAGAAAGACATTTAATACCTAAAACCTTTTCTTGTTTACAAATAGCATAATCAAGTTAGAAATTACCATTTTTTCGCTGTGTTTTAGGATATGAACCTTTGGATTTACCAACTCGTCTTTACATACTTTTTCCATTGCAATAATTTGTTGTGAACTGGAGTATGTGCAAAATGTTTGAATTTCCTAAAATCAAATATAATAATGATACATTATACAGTCGTTGATATTAGAAGAAACAGACTTATACCGTTAAAAATCAGCTTTGTGGCGAGCAGAGAAGATGATTAAGTATCCACATTTCACTATATTATTTTTTCTGTGTTCTTAGATTGTCATTTCTTTTTTGCTTAAGGTTGACAACTAAAAGATAATTCGGCTAATAAAAAAAATGGAAAATGTTGTAGGATCGGTTTATTTGAGTATTTTGGTTAAAGCAATTTATCCGCCATGCCCATATCACCGAGTTAATCATTCCATATTTTATACTATCTTAAATATTTCAAGGGTTCTTTTCAAAATTTAACAACTTAATATTTTACTTTAGTCTTGAAACGGGCAAATGGTCAAATTCATCACCCTCACCTTTATGAGGTAAGTAAGAGTGTCTATATTGTCACTTTCAGGTTTAGAATTTGTGTCCAGTTCTTCAAAAGCATGCGTCCAGTCATCGTCGTAAATTTCTCGAAATTCTTCGGCGAGCTTTGTCGGTCTAAACGGATCGCTTAAATCTGCAATATCAGGATTTCCGTCCATCATTTTATGGCCTGCCAAAGTACTTAGCCTGAAATTAAAAACTTTTTGTTTTTGTGAAAAGATAAAAGAAAATGTTATGTTTGAAAACTATAAATGTATCAAATTTACCACGCACTTGTGAATATTCCTGCTTTTGGGATGGCAAGCATTTTTGTGATTACATTTTATGTTAAAGTTTTTTTTTAGTTCAGTTTCATGTTATCGTGTTTAAGTTCACCGCCAAGTTTACAAAGACATCGGAATAATTTGGCTATTTTTAACATATGGAGCCATAAATAATGCCTTTTTGTTTAATAAAGATTATATTAGAAATAGCTAAAATATTGCTTCTTCATTTATACATTTATATTTATTTAATGTTTAGTGTTTTTGTTTTTTTTTTTTTTTTATTTTTTTTTTGTAAGATGATTAATATCTTATAACAAAATCTTTCAACATACCTTGTCCGTAGTTCTTCAATTTGTTTTCGCATATTTTCTTTTTCGAAGTTCAGTTTCTCAATTTCAGTCCGTAGTTTTTCGTGTGATTTGGGAGCATCCTATTGATGAAAGCATAATATAGTGAATAAAAAATAAACAAAACAAAAATCAAGAATTTTTCAGAGAATTATAAACTTTACAAATAGCAGATATGAAGTTTAAGAATGAAAATATTTTCATATTGTAAATGTCTGTGATAAGTGATAAGTCAGCTTAAAAAAATCAAGGTACTATTTTTTTTACCTGATTACCGCTGCAGTAAGATTTGACGAATGGTATAAGCATTGTAATTAAAATTACCTTGTTTTCCTAAAATAATTATAGGTTCTCATAGTGAAAAAATGTTTAACATCAAATTAACACATTTTTATTATACGCTTATCAACATAACAATATCGTAACGTAATGAAAGTCTTCCATACTTTGCTTTTTTCTTTTGTACTTACAAAAAACAGTTAAATCATTCAATTTAAATCATTCGTAATGCTTCTCTTATGAATATCAATATCTCTTTTAAAATCCTATTGGAAAGTACAACATAGATTTATACAGTACCAATGTACGTTATTTTTATTAGCAAAACTAGAAGTGCCAAAATAAATAAATGCTCAACCTGAGAAACACAGTCAATTTAGTAATTTCATAAGTAAAAAAACGGTTTAAAAACTCACCTGTGAAGTTGGTGTAGCCTGTAGACCTTCATGTCGCTGGTGATCATCATAAAACTTTTTATACTTTGTAAACTTATCCTTAAATTCATTGTGTGCTTCAATAGCATTTTTTAACTTTAAGTCACCCTTGTTTTCCCTATTAACACTAATCAAGTATTCTGTAACTAGATCAATGTCTGAACTACCAGTCGTCATATTGTTTAGAATTGTGTATAAAGTTTATGATTAATAAATACCATTTAATATTTTGGTCGATTATCATTTAAATAAAAGTGAAATAAAATTATGAACCAAAATAGAAAGTAAAACTAGATCGCATTCCTTTTTTCCAAATTACTTCCTCTTTCTGTTTTGATCTATTGAAATCTCTACCTATAAACTATTCCGATACGTTTCTTATATCGCGGACTTCATCTATTTCAGCTTAGTTCGTATTTGGCACATTTTCAAATTCAATTCAGCAAACAATATGTAAACATACAATACAATTAGTCATAATCACAAAATATGTATCATTCAATTAAATACAAATATGTTTTCTATGTACATAACAAATAAGGACACATTTAAAGAATTTATTTCACACTGTCCACATGTGCATATTATTGAATCGGGGTAATTAAAAAACATAAATGATCAACATTATTTTTTGTCCAATCACATTGTAGTATTTTTCAAATTTCTGCTAAGTCTAACTTTGGTTAATGTGTACTAACTAAATAAAATTTACTTAATCTGTCGTCTAACCAGTCTAACAAATTTCAATAATGCATTGTATTAGGGAGGAGATAGAGGTAATGGTTTCCACTCTGAATTGTAAAATATCTAAGGATGGCAAAACAATGCCAACGTAAAAAAAATTAAGCGAGGCCAGGTGTTCTAAATGTGAGAATACAATCAATTAATTTATTCCATAGATAGTACATGTGGGGCACGCAGAGACAAATGATTACATAGTAACTTTTTATATCCTTTTAACACTAAGAACAGTCTTCGAAAAAAGGCAAAGCCCTAGCCTGAGTCTAGTAAATTTACGTTCGGGCTATTGTGAAATACAGAGTACATAGTCTGACTGTTGTACAATGTTTAGAAATTAAAAATGGTATAAAACGAACAGAAATAATTGTGTTAAAATGTTTATATGCCTTAGTAAAAATATAACTATAACTGGTGTATTTCCTTTTGTTTGTTGTGAGATTATCTGTTAGGAAACTATAAATTTTGTTCGTTTGTCACATGTTTTCGCAACACCGTTCTTTCAACTATTTTCAGCAATATTTCACCAGATAATCATAATTGATAGTGAAAACTATATTTTGCATGTTAATTTCATCTTTTCATGACCTTTTTTTCATATGACTATATTTAAAACTCTTGTTTTTTTTCCAATATCACCAAATTGTACAGCACCCCTCAATTTATAATTAAGTAGGTTTTCAAGTCACAGCAAATCAATAAATAAAGATATACATTATTTAATATTCCTCTCTTTTTCAAAGTACACCCACAATTATTTGATTACAGTTCATAGCTCTTCTCTTAGAACTTTTGCCATCTTTTTGTCATCTAAAATGAATGATTTCTTTTTTTATTACAAAATCGAGGGGTTTGACTTCCCCTTGCCACTTTTCCATCATGATCTTAAGCAAGTACTTGTAATACTGTCTTTTCCATTTTTTGCATCATCTTTTTTTAACTATTGAAGCCTTTTTGCCACAAGAAAGATCATTCTCATCTGTTAATGATTTTATATTAATTTTCGGGATATGGTAAATTAGTTCGGGCTACTAGCAATTTCAACTGCCATGGCCCGAATGGCTATGTACATAAAAAGTTTTTCGTAAGAAAAATGTCTGTTATAAATTGCAGACTGATTTAAACTTTATATTTTCTAGAAAAGTAACCAAAACATTATTTTCTTTAAGTCGATAGTAACTGCATTAATAAGAATACAATGATAACATTTTTGGCTGGAAAACTCATTGTTAATGGACCCCCTCCACCTGTAAACCTAAATTGACATACAGAAAAGAAGGTCAACTGTTTTTCAAATGAGCAAATCAAAAGGCATTTTAAATGTTAGTGAATAATTTGAAGCTACCAACGAATTTGTCTCACATTTTCCATTTATTTTAAGAGGATTTACAAATTTTATTAACTCCATTGTTTTTACCTAATTGCATTTTTTTCCTCGCTGTTTTTTTCCAGATATTTTATAGAAACATGATAGTGTTACTGTAGATAAAGGTATAAATTATGTGACATTTCAGTAAAAAATGTGCCTGATTATTTGTTGAAAAGGCAATTTATTTAGTTTTTCTAAATGTGACATGTTAGAAACTTGACAAGGTTTAGACATCTTTTAGAGCGAAAGGGCGGAGCTATCGGTGATTTAGAGTAAAACCCTGTTTTTGGTTGAAAAAAAATAATGATGATCATTAAATAGATTAATGTTCAATAATACACATTAACAAAAATAATTGGTCGCCTGACTGCGGCAGGCTTAACCAATTATTTTTGTAAATATGTATTATTAAACACTAACCTATACCTAAAGTCTATAGCCTTTCTATGTAATTCTTCAATCTTATTAGATATAACTGATATAAGATTTACTAAAATCTTGGATAATATTGAATGTCACAAATGTTTATATGAATAATATTAATTGTGTAATAATCAGTGGGATATAGGTTATCAATATTGTATTAATGTTATCTAAATATCAACGTAGTTATGCTTGTATGTTGTTGTTGTTTTTGTGGTGGTGGTGGTGATAATGTTGTTGTTGTTGTTGTTGGTGGTGGTGGTGGTGGTTGTGGTGGTGTTGGTGGTGGTGATGATGATGATGATGATGAAAGAAGTGACTATGGTGTTAACTTAGATTGCAATTTTCATTTTATTTATTTATTTATTTATTTATTTATCTAAGGTCGGGCCGGAGATAATAAAAAATTACAGACAAATCAAGTAATTTATATAAATTTATAATGTCAAAGATACATGACAGATGATAATTGTAAGTACATACATATCAAAGCAATGAAATAAAGGACTGTACATATAATGTGCATTTTCACTGGGGTATATTTCTGTCTACGGGAGTATACAGTAAGAGTAACAATGAAGTTGTTAAATGCCTTGTATAACACCTTTAGATACTAATGGTCCATTACCAGCATGCAATATGACTGCTGGCCAAACACATCGTTCCACCTTTTCACCTTTTTTAGTGTAAAACGCGAATCTATCTTTGTCACAAGGATCACCACTTTGTTGCCATAGTAACTCCATGGGAGGACTTTGTATTTTCATAAGCCATATAATTTCAACACATTTGGAGACGAACGTTCTAATGTCTGCATTATAAGATGAAATTTTCCAGGCTTGTTGTATCTTCTCCATGTAGCACTTTTCAAATATCTGAAAAAATTTAAAACTTTTTTTTAATGGTTTATTTTCTTTTTCTTGTTTTCTATCTAGGCATCTATTGAACATATATATTGGATTTTAAAGAGTAATTAAAAGAAACATGATCATTTAGGTGAAAACTTTTTTCCATCATAAAACAATAGTAATGATTACCTCCACAAGTGGCCGAGGCGCATATGTTGCAAACGATTTTCGAAACTCTTTCAAAAGTTTATACACTCGTTCCTTTTGCTTTTCATCCATTTGCATAATAGAAGTGGTTGATGCTACCTGGAATCATCAAGTTTATTTATGTAATTTGATTCTGAAACTGTCTGAAAAGATTTTTCTCGGGAGCAATAAATGCAACAAAATACACGAAAAAGCAGACCCAATTTAATTAATTATGCAATAAGAAATATAGAAAATCACAAAATCCTGTTTTCATATCGCATCCGTTCCAATAAATGACTATAAATGACCAAACATAAATAGCTTCACTGACGACTGAGCAAATATTTACACATTGACACCCCTGTGGTTAGCATTTAGCGCATTTTTTTATTTTCATTTAAACAATTTTTAGGGGGGTGTACAATTGTATTCTTATTTTAAAAAAAGATAAGATAAATCTCTCATACTAGTAGTTTCTAAAAGAAATATTAAAGAAACACTTACAAAAGTGCCCTTTTCTGTTTGCAATTTCGGAGAAACAAGATCATCTGTTATATAATGTCCAAGTTTGCTAATCTGATCCGCACTTGTCCTTAAGCACATATCATCGACATTCTGTAAACAAACAAATTAACTTGACATTATAATCTTTGCAAGATAAAGTAGTCATCAGAAGAAACGCCTGGGTTTTCTTTTTCTTTTATTTTGTTGGGTTTTCCGTTGCACCAACACAGCAGAGGTCATACGGCGAATTTCCAGCTTTACTGGTGAAGGAAGACCTCAGGTGCCCCTCCGTATATTATTTTAATCAAGAACGGGAACCGACATTCAGCAAGGTAGCTAAATAAAAGAATATAAAAATCTGGAATAAAGTGATCCCTGGGATACAAACCAAGAGCGGCGAGTAGTCACGACTTTAACCACTCTGCCAAAGAGGCCCCTTTATAACTTTCAAGTCATACTCAAAAGATAAATAAATGCGACATCATTATCTTAATAAAATCGTTATTCAAAGACATAGTGACATGCAAGATATAGTCAGTAGACAGTTATTATATACAACCGTTACAAACAGACAGAAACATTGGACGCAATCAATTTTACAAGCGGCAATCACAGATATATGAAAACGACGTGATACGATTCTATTGACCTTAAAAGCAAAACACTATTGATTTACTGTTGACATATTTGCTAATATAAACTTGATGAAAAAAAAAATATTGTCCTTGGAGCTCTGAACCAATGATTATCACGACAACCAAATAAAGATTCTTCCTTTGCTCTGATATATTGAACCAATTACAACTTCCGGTTGTATTAAAAAGTCTAAGTTAAGCCATATAAAAGTCATATTATAACTTTGGGACTAGAAATAACTTCTTGTCCTACAATGTAAAACAATAAAGGTTAATTAAGTTACTGTAGTAGTTACAGTCAAACAAACATCATTTTACATATAACATTTAATTGAAATAGAGTGTATTTAAAGTTGAGACCTTGATGATATCGGCCAGAAAGTCGATTATTTTCCATTCGTCAGTTGCAGCGTTGTTATGTAATGTCTCGTACGCTTGTGTCCATGTATCATCGTACATTTGACCGAACCGTTCAGCCAAATTGGTAGGTCGAAAAGGATCGCTTAAATCGGCGATGTCAGAATTACCTTCTGTCATTTTCTGACCGGCAATCGAGCTTAACCTTAAATGGAAATGAATTTCAAATATCATCTTAACTTCTTATTAGATTTTTCTGTCTGTAAGAAATCATTCGATCATTTTGTCCTTACTTTCTTATTGGCGATCGACACAGAAAACATAGAACTTGCAATATTAGTATTCAGTTTGGGGGTAGTGTTGTTTAAAAACTGTATAATTAATACAATTAATTTACAAATCTGATTTTACAAATGATCAAAGACGTTATTGATTTCTCTTCCAGACACATACTAACATAAAATGATTGCACTACCTGTATTGTGTATATTTTTCAAAGTTCAAAAGTATAATACAACATTCTTTTAGTATAAATAGACTGAAAGATGATACCGCCTATACAGTACAGGGTACATTAGTAGTCTATATAGATATGTTATTTTCTGATTTGTTTCTAGGCAATTAATTTTTACTAACCTATTTCGAAACTCATCTCTTTGCATCCTCAAGTTTGCTGATTCTTCCATCAATTTTCGGTTCTCTTCCTTTAGTTTATCAATTTGCTTTTTGCCCTCGCCCTGAAATGTAAACAATATATTACATTTTTATTTTATTTTCGACCATTATTTCTACTTTTTATTTTTTCATTACGCACTTTTGTCGCTCATTCCTGTGAAGTGCCTCGTTTCAGTGTCTGTTTATCTTAATATTTGAGTTGACTAGGTGATGACACAGATGCGTTCCTTCAACATTGCTCCCTATTCGCTCCATATACTCTCATATTTAGCGTAGCGTTTTTGTTGTTGTTATAAAAAGAAAATATCGAAAGAATTGTGTCGATTTCGGCGAAATTTCTACGCATTGTTATAAAATGGGTTACCTTAATCAAACTGTGCTTAAAAGAACTTTAAAGTGTTATCGGGAGTTCAAAAAAGTAAAGTATAATATATTTATAGCTTGATTTCATCGCGATAACCTTTTGAAAAGTCAGAACTTTGGCTGAGTTCAAAATGGATCAACTTGTAAACTCCTTGTAATCATGTTTCAATTACTGATATTTCACTTATAACAAACAAATTGAAACCAATTTGGTCTTTATCTTTTACATGTTACTTTTTTAAGTGAATAGAATCCCGTTCCTTGCGCTATATGCGCTTCTGACGAATTACGCATTTTCAAAATATGATATCAATAAACAAACCTGGTTTGAAGAGAGAGTTCTTAAACTTTCTAGCTCTTGGGTCATATCATTAAACGCTTTCAGAGCCGCTTCTGTCTCCTTTGGTGTTACTTTTTTACTTCCTTTCTTCAGAACATCTTCAACAATGCCATACTTTCCTTTTCCTTTCTCAGACATGACTGGGCGGTCGTCGATGAGTTTAAGTTTATCACAAAAGAATCAGTTTATTTGCATCCAGAGATGATGCGTTTATTTTACCCTGAAACACATATAGTATTAGGGTGAAATATGTTTTCTAATTAATTAATGAGGTAAAAAACACATATAGTATTAGGGTGAAATATGTTTTCTAATTAATTAATGAGGTAAAATAGTGCAAAGCACCTTAGACCTCGTTGCATCAGAGCGACCTCCTAGTAAGCCCAAAAACAGTGGGCGGGCCGAAACCGAACAGTGACGTTTATATATTATCAAATTTTCTAGCTGACTGATCGGTCTCTATCGATCTATAATAATATGAGGTCCCCAGTGTTGTGTACTATTTCTTAAGTAGTAAATACACGGCGGGCAGGTAAGTGATAATCGGCCGGCTTATATATATAATGACCTTGAGGTCTTCAATCCGAATTTTCATTCAGTCCCCATTTTTGTCCTGAATCTGTCGTTTATTTATGCCTTTCATGTTAAATTTCACTTTATAGTACTTCTTAAGGCACATTTGAAAAAAGAAAATCCGCTTGAAATAACTCGTGTCGTAAATACTGCTGTTACTTAATATAACTTATACCCGAGTGGCAAGTTTTGAAATCAATAGACCAAATCCTTTATGAATTGTTATAAATAGTGTATTATACTTAAATTACTACAAAGGTCGCTTAAAAATTTAGCTTTGTAAATATATATAAGCCTATTTATCATAAATAAACTGGGCGTTTAACTAGTTTCGCTTTTAAAAACTGAAACTGAATTGCAAAAAAAAAAAACATTTGTAAGAAATCTGTTTGTCAGCATTTATATCATGTCATATGTTAGGAACTATTATCTAACATAATGGCTTACCTTTTAGAGTATATTAAAGCCACTTTTATATATTATACTTCCTTTTTCATATTCTGTCTTTTTATCGAAACCAAGCTTGCAACGCATCAGTTAACAGCTATTTACATTTCAGATTAAAACTATTTTTATGTGAAAAAATATTATTCTGTGTATTGACTAGGTTTAACATAGAATTTTAAAATTAAATTGATTTTGTTGAAGATGGCTTTGACAGTCACTGATAGTTTTGTTAAACAACAGAAGAAATAACATATCTTTTACAGATGTTTCGATCCGTATTGAATGAGAGGTTATCATTTGAACAAAATCAATTGTCTCCCTTGAATTTTTGGTTGATTACTACACGACAATTTATGCCATTCCATTCATATTCTACACTTATACACTCATGATGTTAGTTTTATACTGATTTTTATTTTTTATCCTTGGCTAATATTAACACGCCCCCCCCCCCCCCCCATGGAATTGTTTAATCATCAAAACTTGTTTCTTATGAGAAATATTTTAGAAGGACGATAAAAACCGAAAATCTTGTTTTAAACGCACCTATAATGTCCCCATAACAATGTCCCCATAACAATAATAATTTACGACAAATTTAACCTTTTCAAATTTCCAAAGATAACATGTCTAATTACTGCATACATGGCAAAAATAAACCTTTAATTTAGAATAATTTAGAGTAATTAAGTATTTAATTCAAGTTATTAAGAGTTATGTGTGAGTTATGATTCAATATTTAGACACTTTTCAATGATAATAAATTAGTGAACTATTTTCTTTTACTCGCAAAATACCATTTATACTAAGGTAAATTCAAATCAAGGATAAAAAATGAACAATTTAGAACCAGAATAAAATCACGTATTGAACTTAAACAAAATGTTGCGTTAAAAACAATAATATAGAAACATTCAATAAACCTGGCAACCTTTTTTTATGAGTCGTAACACTGGTGCAAACTCTCCCAATCCCAATTTTAACGTTGTTAACCCAATAAAAAGGGCTAGCAATAAGGGTATGACTATAATGCATGCTATTGAAATCATGATTTATTGTAAAATAATAAGTAATAGAAAGAGCACCGAAACACGAGGCTATCTGATTTGTACGAGGGGGCGTAGCCCCCGAGTATAAATCAGATTGCCGAGTGTTTTGGTGTTCTTTCTCTTTTGTATCAGAGTCAAACATAAAAACACGTTTCCTGTTGTCACAATTTTAAACCCCGGGAAAAAGTAACCAATGATCGAGCATCTGATTATGATATTTCTGCCGCTTTCCCTTTCTCTGCCGTCACAATATGTAAACCCCAGCAAAATTGAGCCAATCAACGGTAATGATCTGGAGTGCGGGTAACTGATACCTGCACTCCAGTTACCGCACTGTGCATGTATATGTATACGATTTAACTCTAACACTTTTTCAACAGAAAGGTCCCCAAACTATGATACAACTGCTGTAAATGTATATACATAAGTGATTTTGTAAGGCTAGTATGGGATTGTTCCCCGGCTCATACTGATCATTTGACAGGGAGTACAAATGGGGCACCCTCTTTTTTTGGGGCCCGGAAAAAAAAATTGTCAAATACACTACATTTATATGCACCTACTACTAAGTTTTACAAATCATTCAAAATGTATTTTGTCGCTCCATGTAAATCTTTATCATTTTTTTAGCCATGAAGAGGTTAGTCTATCTCTTTGTTACCATCAGTACAGACGGATGGTTTGAGTGTATTTATTTACGTGAAGTAACTATGTGTTGATAATTTTATACCACGACAGACAATGCTTCCCTCGCATAATAATAACCTGTTATTTCAGCGGTTAATTCAACATTGGTAGATGTTAATGATATATCAATTATATCAAATATTGCAATCAAATTATTACTGTTTAAAGTGTTCGTACTATTGTCAACCCGTTAAGACTTTATAGTTTTAGTGTATCGTTCTTTTAGTGTTTTATGTGAATTTATGAATCGGGAATAAAAATTTAACATATAAAAGGGAAATTTTGTTATTGATATTAGAAATAAGATTATTAGATTTTATTCATAAAACAGTCAGGTAAGTTAATAAAAATTCAAATGTTTTATACATGATGAAGTTGACAGAAACACTTTTACTGTGTGCTCTTTTGTTAACGAGAGACGAGTAGGTTTTTGTGTGTGTTTTTTCTTCTGTTTTTAGAGTGGCTGTTTCATTACCGACACTAAATCATTTACTGGTTTTTTAATGTAAAAACATCGCGAAAAGCATAAAGAGTGTACACATTTATTACGTAAATATGTTGTATTTTAAAGGAAAACAACAACATCTGAAAAGTGACAAATATAAAGAGTTCACCTCAGAAACACTTTTTGTTGGACGGACGTAGACAACAATATAAATATGTACATTGAACATTTAAAATTTAAAAAACGCAATCAGGAAACTCCCAGTAAATCAGATATGTGTGTATTCTAAATCAACATTGTCTTAAATGTTAATATTGTAAATGAAAAGATAATTGAGTTTTAAGGTTTCCGTGCTAAAGTTTGAAAGTCAATTTAACAATAACGGAAACAAATAAAATGAAATAACTTTACAAAAACCATGACGGCACCTGATACTAGACTGAGACATAGACATTGATTCAGAAAGAAGTAAAAGTGTTAGAAGTGATGTCAGCAAACGATTAGAAAAAGTTCTTTTATTAAATCATAATTGTGCATTTAAGTTTTTAATTATTCATGATTTTAGTTTTTAGATTTCGTCTTCATTTCCAGTGCACACATAAATCATGGAGGAACGCGTAGGTTCAGTAATGCGTGTGCTCAACGCAATGGAAGAGTTAGATCACAGTGAACTAACACGTGGAAACGTTAAAGCTGCTACACGTGCTGTGGAGAGCATGCACACAGAGATGATCAAATATAACAATGGTAGAGAAAGTTATCAATATTTTGTATAATCAAATCTTTTGGCATTTTCATTAGAATGATGGAATTTGGGTTTTCATAAGAATGATGGATGAAAGAAAGTTCTTTTCAGGCCGGGGCCTCTAAGACCGTATTGGTTAGGTTACCGACTTCAAATCACATTTTCCTGTGTATTTAGATCTAGTCAAAGATTTCGGGTTCTTTTATGTCAGGAGCTATCAGGCTGGCTTACTGAAATGCTTTTCAAATGATCATCGACAATAATGCTTTATGTAGCATAATGCCCAGACCATTTATTTCAATAATTATGAGTGTCTGAGTGAGTAATAACTAAGTCTTTATTTTCATCTATTGTCCAGGAGTTGGTGCGAAGACCGACTCGTTCTCAAAGCTGTTGTCAATGGCTGAGCGCGGAAACTGGACTGAGCTACGGAACGCCAGAACTAATGGTTTAATGCCGACAGCACGACAGGAGCTTGAGGAATTGATCGGTTACTTCACGAAAAAACCGGTATGATGTGTTGAAATACTTGTGCTTTTGTGTGAACCACAGATAAACATGTTTGACTTTCGAGACAACTGACGCATTTTATTATAAAATTATTTTGTATTCAAATAATTATGCAGATAGTATCGTAGTAACATATTCATCATTTGTATTATGATGTGTTTTTTTAATATTAAAGTATCTTTTAAAGTTGAGTATTTATTTAATAAAAGAAAATGCGAGTTTTTTTTCCACTAAAATAGATAATTATTACAAATATTCTCTTTGATATTCGTACTTGTCGCTGTTGTGAGCATTATGATAAATAGCTTTAATAATGGTAATATTAAAATATTGCAAATTTTAGTTATTTTGTTTTTCGCCTACTTAGATAAAGTGTTTTATCGTTATGATTAATAATGTGATGTTTTTAATGTAGGCGTCAGTGACCCCAAGTATTGATAAACCCTCCAAAAGAAATACACCTACTGACAGGGGTTATCCTCCACAGCATACAGAAGAGAGTGAGAGAGCCTATAACCGACGGCGAATGGAGAGTCAGTTCGAACACCGTGACCGACGAACCGTCGAGCCCAGTTACTCGGCCACACCGTCGGATTATGATAGATATGAGTTGAGGCGACGTGATGACCCAAAGCAAGTCAGCGATCAGTAAGTAGTAGAGAAAATTTCAAGCAAGTAAACATGATCAAGGTGTTTAAAACACTTATTTAATATCCAAAAATGTCTTAATGACATATCATCAGCATAATGATAAGAACTGGTATGCTGCAGCTGCTTTATCTAAAGCATCATCACCATGGCCTGTTAAAAAATCCTAAAGAAGGCTGATGAAAATTGCAGAATCGGTTAGATTGAGACTGTACATGAGGGTTAAAGAAAAAGTTCAAAATCCCTCACGCCCCCTTGCACAGGCTGCTTAGTCCTATACCCTGCACCGGCTGCTTAGTCATATACATTTTTAACATATAAATTATAATGATAATAAATAACAGACCATGTTTGAGAGAAAGCGAGTCTGATAAATAGTCAGCTATATCTTTAAATCAGTTTGAAAGGCCACCTTTAATGGAAAAGAAAGCAACTTACGGTTTCACTTCCCATTCATGGAACACTTTAGGTTACCAAATAATAGAAAGTAATATCAAAGGGTTCTATTTAAATTTCAATCTTATTTTCTTTACGAAAATACTGTCTTTAAGACAATTGACGTTTGATTAATTGTGTCTTAGGGTTAATACGATATAATTTTTAAATGGTAATATAAAACGAAGAGTGTTGTTATGTACATTGATTTAACAATCGATTAATTATATCAGTCTGAGTCAACTGGCGTCCGAGAGATTGCGCAATGGAAAAGCGACAGATTTAGAGGAGGTAACTAGCCCGAAGCACGTGGCTGATATGTTCAATGAGCTATATAACAGAGAGTGGACTGCAGCATACGAGGAACTTCAGCAAATGTACAGGGATCCAAACGAAACCATACAACATCTCACTAAGATAATAAAGGTACTATAAAAATCGCTTCAGCAACTTCTATGTTTTCAGTGAATCAAACACTCGTATAGTTCAGTCTAACTTTGTCAGACTCCGTATATCATACCTTTCAATCTATTGACGAATGTATTATGTAGAAAAGTTCGAAAAGAGCCAAAATATTCAAAACTTTCACAAATGTAAATAGAGGACTATTTTCATATTAACTTAAAAAGTGGAAAATTATTTGTTTTATCTTTAGGCATAAATATATTTCGGGCGATAACGCAAAAGGTCGACCAAAAATATTGACTTTATATTTCTTGAATCTTGCTTGACCAAGGCTATGAAATGAAAACTGAAGAGATGATTTAGTGACTCTACCCGTATTCGAAATGACCGTGTTTTTGTATTGTCTTCAAGATATGTGACCATTTGACTAAAAAGAACGAGAGTAAAAAAAAAACTGAATTTTGAAGCATCCCCGAAATTACTGATATAATGTTTATATAATTATTTGCTATCTTTGTGACTGTCATATATTCTAAAAGGCGTAATATTTAAGCTAATATTAAGTCTTTTAATGTTGGTTTGGTTTCGTACAACTTAAGAATTATAAAAGTAGTATATAAATAATTCCATCAATAATAATAATATATTTATTTTCAATTGATATTATTGTTGAATTTAGAGTGCGTATGATTATTGTGGAAACACGGCAGAGAGACAGATAGTGAACATAATGATGCATACAGAAAACGAAATGCTTTATCCCAACATTTCACAACAGTCTAGGGTAAATATGGATTATTAACAAATTTCGCGTGTATGTATTTTGTATATTATACTGAAGTTTGCTTATTTGTATTTATATTTTTTATCAATTTGATTATGTAAAGTTAAAGGTTGTCTAGGTTGTGAAATTGTGTTTGCTGAAATGGCTTTACGTCGCACCAACACAGTAGAGGTCATACTTTCCAGCTTTACTGATGGAGTGAAGGAACACCTCAGGTGTCTCTCTGTGCAGGCACGAGCGGGCACCTGAGTAGAACCACCGACGTTTCGTATAGAAGCTTGACAGCTTCATCGCATGAAATAATCTAAAATCCCTGGCGGGATTCTGGCGGGTTTCGAACCTTAAGCGGTAAGGGACAAATGCGTGGTTTAAAGTCAATGAACTTTTCCACTCGACCACGGACGCCCTTATTTTATAACCTATCATCATGTTAAACTGTGGTGTTTTTATCACTGACTGCTCGTTTAGTACGATTAAATGTACGCATGAGGTGTTTATTTTTAAAATGTTTATTTTTTTTTTAATCAGATGAGCAATAAAAAATAAACAATATCCCACTTGTTCTACATGCTTTATATGCAAAACTCAAGGATGTACAAATTTGCAATTTTGCTGATTTCAGGCAGCTTTAGAGGCGCAAGTAAGACCTGATCGTCAACTCATTGCTATTGTCCGAGAAAATGATGCAATGCTGAGAGACTTCAGAAAGTATGCATCTGTTGCATCATTACCCGTTGTCAAATGGGTAAGCCGAGAGATTCAATTGTTTTACGAATATGCTTGATTAAGTTATATAGTCGTTTATATGTTATGTATATGTAAATGATAGTTTTTGTACGCATATATACGTTCTTGTCGTTTGTTTTATTTTTGGTGTGTAAACAATACATGCGCAAAATAGAATATTTGTTGATAAGCATAGTGGGTAAATGTAAGATAATAATTAAATGAAATAGTATATGATTAACTAAGTAGTCATGAGTAGTTATAAATATTATTATTGGGTATATGAATACAATTAAATAGCTTTTATGGAATTCTTTAAGCGCTTACATATAACAAATTTGGTAACTGATTACAGCTATTCTATGAAGACATTCTGAAAACAATTCATCCAGCTCAACGGCCAACGAATTCACAAGTAGCGTTCATAGATCGTTGTATAGAAGTAATATGGATGATGTGTACCCAGGCCAATCCCATGCATCTTGAATTCTGTAATAAAGGGGACAGACCAACAAGTCTCTTCAAGCCATTTACCAGGAGCGGAAATGCCGTGCAGAATTGCGTTTGGCCAGCGTTGTTTTTGCACAAAAATGGACCGCTAATGGAGAAAGGCGTGGCTCACTTACATTAAAGCAAAATAACATTTTGACAGTTTTCTCGAGACCTTCATGGAACATATTGGCTTAAACTCGAATGCTTTTAAAAGCATGATTATATTTTTCTTACAAATTCACGTTCATGATTTTTTTCTGGACATTCCGTTTTTCATCAGTGAAGTAGATTATTTTATTTTTGAAATAAAAAGAATCAAACCATCTTGCGTATTTTTGTTTTATCATATTTTACGAACTGAATTTAACATATCTTGTGTAAACAATTATAAAAGTCGCAAGGGAAGTGATCTGTTAATCTTCTTAAATTGCTATAGTCTGATATTTGATATATGCGAGATGTGTCCAAGAGGTATGGAAGTAGCAGATGCTTTGTATAAACATGGTTTGCGAGATATACATTGTGAATCTTCTCAAACACATCACCAAAAATAACAATAACAACAACATTTATTTTACTATGATTAAAATTAACAAGCTTTCAATTCTATTCTTCATTTTTTTAAATTGTTTGTCATTTCCCTTTTCAATTCATCTGTATATCAGTCAGCAAAATCTTCTGCACTTCCCGCCATGACAACACCTTTGCTTAGCAACGCCCCGCCTTCTTTATGAAATACAGCCGGCCATACAGTCTGTCTCACTAACGCTCTTTTCTCTTTGTAAAACTTGAAATATTCCTTCACAACGGTCTGTTTGGGTTCGAGCCAATAAACCATCATCGGAGGCTCTTGCACGACCATCAACCAAATCAACTCAACTGTTCGATTCACAAAGTCTCTTACTATTTTGTTCACAAACCCGCTGTCAAATAATTCTGGAAGTTTTACTTTACGAAACAGCTGAAAACGAAAATAATAAAACCTTACAGATATTAGTAATGTTTATTGAAGTACATGTTTGGTTTATAAACCCAGCAGCCGGATAGTTTGCATGTGGGCAAGAATCATAGATAATGATTAAAATGGACAAACCTATCTGCATATTTAAATTCAGTTCTTATTTAATAAGATACGTATTCAATATATGATTAATTTACCTAAGGACTAAGGGTATTCCAGCACTTTTAAGTGCCGCTCAAACCGTTGCTGAGGAGCGTGAGGGATGTTGCACTCACTGACATAATCGATTAAACCGAGTCTGCAATTTTCATTTTACTTTGTTGTAATTCAAATTACACCCGATATGCATTAAATACTTCTTATCAGGGGAGATAACAAGAACATCTATATAGATAACTCGCCCCTTGGGAATATTGCAAAAAAATATTGACCATCCAGGATGATAGATAAAAATAAAACCATGCGATGTCACATAAGGCTATACAGTAAAGGGTTTATGTAAGTTATAATAAAACTATATATTTTCATTTTATGGAACATGTTACTTAATCATCTAATAAACAATACGGTCATAATGATAACAATACTATCTTAAGCATGATTATTTGAATTTGAAATTCTTACAAAGTGAAGCATATGATAAAGAAAAACTCTGCAAAGGAAACGTACCCAGAATATTAATGAATATCGATTTTTGTGCGATTCTTAGCCTGATAATTTGAGTGAAAAGCATTGGAACGCTTTTCATTTTTTTTGTCATTGTGCACACAAAAAAAGGGGGAGAGAGAATGATTTGAAAATTTGTACACGAGTTAATGGTCCCGACCTACATCAAATGGTTCTAGAGCTTCGAAAAAAAAAATGTTTTCAGACCCATCATGTTCAAAAACCTCAATGAAGTCTGTTCTGGAATTCATCAAAGAGACCAAGTAGTATTTTCATGGAATGGCACGAAAGTGTCACATTGAATGTTCTATGATAAACGTCGTATATACACATCTGCATATGTTTCTAAATTTAAAATTTCACCATTTTCATATTTAAATGTTAAAGTTTGCCTAAGCCGGTACTAGGGGGAGTGGACGGTGGTGTGCACTTGACAGTACTGTCCATGAACAGGAGCCTGCAACATTTTCAATTTTGCCATTTGGACTTTCTTTAGGGATTCTTATTTTCTCTTCATTTTTTCTCTTACCTCCTGTACGGCTGGAACAGACTGACTTACAAGCACATTCTTATAATCTTTGAGCAGTCGTTGACCTATTTGTATATACTGTTGGTTCTCTGTGTTAACTTCTGCTGAGGGTTTATATTTCTAAAAATAGAATTTCCCAAAAAGATAAAATTTCTCGAATTTATTGACCTGTCAATTATGAATACATTATAGGACTCATTTAAATATTCGATCCCACTTCGGTTTGGTCCGTGAATTAATTTGGAGTATATTAGTCATGGGTTGAAAGTCACGCCAGCTTAATGTGAAGGTTTTCGTTAATTCACAATAGGACAGTCGGTAAAGAGAATGCCTGATAATTGAGAAGTCTGTGGTTCGATCCTTACTGTTACCATTGTTTTAGTACTCTTTCTTTATTTTTGCAGTATATTTTAATGGAACAGATTTGTAGTGTGTTTTGCGGCATTGAAAAGACATTTATTGATTTTAATCCGTTTTGATTTTAAACATGAATTCTTAAAAAACATGTTATTTAAAAAGAGTATATACATAACAAAATTAAGTAAACAATAAAAAACGAACAACATAAAATAATCATATATAGATTCAATAATGTTGAAAGTATTAATAATAAAAAACATGGACCAACGCGGCCTCGAACTTAAAACACGTGTGGCACTTAGATTATAAACTCGTGATTTACCGTATTGCGCTATAGCGCGGAGTACACTTAGTTTAGAGATAAAAAATAAATTACAGCGTACATCTCACGGAACTAACCGAACATCTACCGAAGATTAATATACTGTGTGCATCGACCGTGTAATCAGTATGTAATTGACAGGTTAAAAAAATCAAACATAAATACATTCTTGAAAAAAAATCGATAAAATTCGAATTACCAATTACATGTTCATTTGTTAATAGTTTACTAAAAAAGTGTAAACGATATGTTTCCACTGGTGAAAGGGAGTAAAGCGTATTCTATAGTTATTTTCAATAACATTTAAGGACTACTTTTGACAAATTTAGATAATCAAACTGAACACGAAAAGTATGTCAATACCAATTTAGACATTGGGTGTGTAAAAGTTGGCTGCAACATCACTTCTTGTAATCGTGCAGAATAATCTTCAACAGCTGTCCGCTGAGTTTCAGCAATGTCAAAACAAAATATGTACGCATGCTGAAGAAGAATTGTAAATAAAATTGCAGTCATCCTAAAGAAAAGGAAGGTGCAACAATAACATTTTTATCACGAAATATAGTTTTTTATTCAAAAATATAATTTTTTTATAAAAGAGAATAATTGACTAGCAATTTTACAAAATGTTAATCATAATTCTGTTAATTCAGATATAAGAAATAGTTTAGGAAAGTGGCAGAATCGCTTCTATAGAGTTTGTTCATGAGCAACACAAAACAGGAAAAAGCCGTTTTACACGTATTCAGTAATTCCGCTTTTCTTACCCCCCCCCCCCCCATCTCCCTCATCGCCCATTTTACATGAGAAAATTAAATCACCTACTCTGACAACTCGGAACAGACTAAACACGACTCGCTCCTCGTCGTGCCACGATGACTTCAGCGTTTCATAAGCGTGGTACCATTCCTTCTCATACAAGTCCACAAAGCTGTTGATAATCTTTTCAGGTGGTATGACATCTTCAACATATACGTTTTTCATTGCCTTTGTCTTAGCTTTGTGTGATACCCTCTGAAATCTTTATAAGATAAAAGTTTAACAGATGTACTGAATTTTTTTCCGAAATCACAAATGTCTACCGGGTTTATTTATCATTTTATTAAGTGTAATTCAAACTAAGTTTCCTGAGTATACAATTTCTAAATTGGCGGATATTTAGAATTCAATTCCTTATTGATTACTACATTTATGTACACGTTTATATAAAGACTATTCAAATAAATAATTTATAAATGGCATTCAACCCTATGCAGTGGTAATCAACCTTATCCCAAAAAGGATACGTGCAGGTATGGGTTACATTTTCTTACTACAGTATAATATTCCGTAAAGAATAAAAACGAAGTACCTCAATAGTCCTTCAAATATGAAAACGCTTTCTTTTGGATAATTCTTAAATTTTTATATTATTCAAGTTAATCATGAGTGTCTGTACAAAATGTTTTATAAATAACACTTAATAGGTTAATGAATATAAAGGTTTTAGTATTTAAGTATTTAATTTTTGTGATACTATGCACTTTTGTCTTGCTTTGTTTTGTTGTTGTTTTTATATTGTGATATACAATAATAACTTTTCATCTTCTTCAGAATGTCATATGTAAATAAGCTGTATTCTAGTTTTTCTTACTGTGTACACTTGTTTTAATATTATGAAATGTACCTCATATGCATGTATGTAGATGGAAAATAAAACTTAACTGAAATATGCACATACTGTAAATATCACCTAGGCATTAAAAAGCCGCTTTGATCGCATTCCACTGCTGTATTTAGATCTATTCAGTAATCAACTTTATTTAATTAATCAAAATATTAATTTAATGTTATTAGTCGACACCATTACCTGCTTTGATAATCAGCTATTAATTTGTCTTTCCTTTTGATCTGCTCCAGTAACTTGTCTTTCTCGTCTCGTGTGATTTTAGATTCACCTGGTGGGGCAATGCCATCAGACTCTTCTCCGGATACTTGTAACTGTATAGATATATAAGATCCTTTACCTATGCTATTCTCATACAAATTTCAAAAGGTAGAAACTCAAATCATGTATAAGGTTCGCAGACTTTACCCTCACGTTGTTTTCATATTCTTTTTGTGATATCGGTAGAGATTTTCGCAAAAACAGAATTTTATGACATACCAGTGCCGCTTTCGCGACTCCCTAAATATGGTATTGTACTGTCGTGTGCGTCATTTGCATTTAACAGACATAGCGTAAATGTGTCGCACTATAAGTGCGTCAATAAAAAGTGGTTTATATTTACTGTAAATAATTCTATTTTAGATATGTGTTAAATGGAATATTATATTCGTGTAACTTCTAACTAAATTTATAAAACTCGATCAATGAAATAACATTATTCAACTCGTTCAATAAATTCAGTATTGAACCTTCTCTTATTCAATATCCTCTATTTATTTGACGCACATGAGTTATGTGAGAAAGAAGAATGAAATGTTCTATAACGAAATATAACATCTTTTACAGAAGATTAAATGGTGAATTCGCCAATGCATATAATCATTTCAACATTGATAATATGGTATTATTTTATCAAGATACTTGATCTATCAAATTTTTTTTATAGAAAAAAACTATAAACCATTGTACCATTTTAGAAACGTTAAACTTTCCATGTTATGTCATTGTTAAATGTTCAAGCAGTGTTTTCATTTGCATGTTAAACTTTTGAAATATTATGTCCAAAAAGTGTTACAGCCGTTTTGATTGTGTTCATTTGTATATCCTATAATTTTTTTCTGATTAAATTGCTAATTGTGCCTTTAGATGATGCGTGCCTACCACTCCTTTCTCCAGTCATAAGCCTTCCTCTGCTTGGTTCCGTGTATTACTGGGTACCTTGTTAGCTGAGTCATTTTGGGGTATGTGTTCTATGAACATTTTACAGTATGTTCTATTATGTTTAAATTCTTCGTTAATATCATTAAAAAGACTTACTTTCATCTTTTTCGTTTTTGCTTCCAATTCTTCCAATTTCGTTAGAAGGTGATTATAGTCTCTCATAGCAGCTGATACGTCATGCTGTGACAGTACAACGCCCTCGTGCATCTTTTCTAATACGTCTCCTAGTTTACCACGTGACCCGCTCGGGTTCTTTGGTTTGATCGGACTTGCATTCCTCACTGAAGGAGCTATACTCATTGCCCTACTGCAGAAATCAATCACGTAAGAAATTGTATTTTTACTATAACCGCTGACCTATGTATGGATATTTGCATTACTGTTATGCTATAAATAAGTTGTTTCAACCAATGTTCTACTGACAGAAGATGTTTGTTGCACCCGCGGCATTTTATTTTCAATTTTCAATTTATAGTTCTTAACTAAATGTGATATTTGCAGACAGACAGACAGATATACAGTCAGAATACTATACTTTACTCAAGGTTTTAAAAATACAACATGGCTATATGAAAAATGAAAACTGTTTACTTTGGAAAGAAGTCTGAAAAAAGTAAAACAATGGGTTTCAGGGGGAAATTCTCTCCTATGATACAAACATATGCATACGCCCAAGCACGTTCTCTAAGATTATACAAAGAATATACTCAAACGTCTTAAATATAGTAAAAAAAGGATTACAATGTCAATTGCTACCATATCTATTTTCTTAACTAGTAATTATTTAAACAAAACTGAATCTAGTGAAAGAGCAACTTAATATAATTAAGCACAGCTGTTGTAAGTCAAATACTTTTTATTCTTTACAGTCTCTCGATGGTGAGCGTAATTCATTCATCAAAATAATTTGCAAGTATGATACCTTGTAATACAAGATATATGTATAACAAACGTGACAGTGTATCTACAGATTCTTGGACATTTGATATAAATGTCTTTTTCTTTGTCCTCTTAGTAAGCTACATGTAAAAAACTCTTTTCTCAAAACTGTCGATTTCGTTTCACATAGCAATAATAAATACAAACAAATACCTTGATTTCCTCGAGATAAGATCATCTTCATCATCAACGAAATTTTGTGAGCGACTTCCAGAATCATAGCTCTGTTTTAACCACGAATTCGGAGAGTCAGCACCCGATGAAGCCTATGAAACACATCAACACACTAAATAAATATGTCTTGAAAAAGGAAGAAGTGTAGTAATAGTAAAAATAAATTATGCATGGTATAGGGATTGTGCTTTCGTTAAGATGACACATGTTTGATAAAAAGCTTAAATAAAGAAAATATTTTTTACATTTTGTAAATCATGACATTTAAAAAAAAACACAAAGTAACTACGATAATTTTAAGTAAAATAAGATTAAAGTTCGAAACAATTGATATACTTATTTGTTAAGAAATACATGTAACTGATTATTATATGATTAAGTTGGAATTTTATTGCCTATAATTACTTTTATCAGTAATATCTGTAACTAATGCATGTATACGAAATTAAATAATATCATTGTTTTATAATTTATATACAGGTAACTGATATGTTATACAGATATACAGATTTGATTCTATTTTTGCTAATTGAATAAATCTTACAAATTACTGATTAAAAATATATTATACGCCTCAAACCTTAGACCATCATACATATGAGTTACGTTTTTTACATACAAAGAGACAACTTACCCTAAATCCTTGCGTCGACATCTTATTTAGGTCATACTTATATATATTATCCAATTGTTCTGGTTAATTAAATAACTAGATAAAAATTATCTTTTTGTATTCCTTTCCACTAAAATGAAAGTGCTTTTGAATTCTTTTATCAAAACTCTAATAAAAACTTCTTTACTTCAGATAAAATAGTAATCAAATATCTGTAAAAAGTGGCAAAGATATATCAAAGGGAATATGATCCGTTCCAAAGAGGGCTTTATTTTCATGCTTCCATGAGTCAATTGTCAAAAACAATTGTAAATTACTGAAACCACGTTTAGATTTGTAAAACATTCACCCTATACCCTGGTTGATTTTAAAATGCGCATTATCTGTAGATATTTGAGTCGCGTCACGACAAAACCAACATAATGCGTTTGCGACCAGCATGGATCCAGACCAGCCTGCGCATCCGCGCAGTCTGATCAGGATCCATGCTGTTCGCTGTTGGTTTCTCTACTTGTTATAGAGTTTGTAAGCGAACAGCATGGATCCTGATCAGACTGCGCGGATGCGCAGGCTGGTCTGGATCCATGCTGGTCGCAGACCCATTATGTTGGTTTTGTCATGACGCGGCTCATTTACATATTTCAATATGAGTGACCTTACGAAGTGAAATTATATGCCATTTATAACTCTGGTAACAATCTTGGAAACGTAGATGTCGACAGACAGTAATATTCTGCATCATCTCTTGAAAACAACCTGCATTTGCATTTCTTAACCCAACGAATAACTGTCATAAAAGAACAGTTCATTATCATAACGATAAAAAAGAACGTATTTCATAAAAAATGTCTTTCAAACATCGTACTGTAATCTTGTACCAGTGAAGACAAATAAACAAAGTGAAAGCGAGCGTAACTTATGTGGGCGACATAAACGTAGAGCTATCATCCTGACAACACATCATATTATTGAGCGAGATGATATCCTAGAAACATTCATACTTGAAAAAAATACTGTTGTCGTCACATGACACCTATACTGGCGACGTACTCCAGAAGAGTATCACGAAGGTTATCTTCGAATATTGATCTGATCCAAGATTAATTAACTAGTTAATTAACCTACAATGCATAAAGTTTTGTAACAAGGTGCTTCTGTATAAGGTTACATGTTCTTATCGGTAAAACAAACTAATTCGGGAGATCGGACTCGCAATCTATGATTTTGCAGTCGAACCATTTTTATTAACGAGCCGTTCCGTTGCTCCTTCAAAATGTTTACAAGGCGATGAAGTTCTCTTACTTTAATAATCAAATTTCTTGCAAAGACGCTCGTGTTCATTCCAAATATTAATGAACAGAACAGAACTTTTATTTTTTTATTTGTACATAGTTCATCATCATATACATTATAATTTTCAAGTAAAATGTACATTTCAGTGCAATAAATACAAAGAAATCAATAATACAAATAATATAGAGAAATCAATAATTGTTATGAAACTTACGTTGATTGTTATTAAGCCTAAGTTAAGTTAAGATGAACATAATTCAGAAGCAAAATCAAGATTTTGATCTATCATTGAACATTATTTAATACTGAAGTTCTTACAGTCATAGTATTTTTGTAATAAACTTCTAATTTACATAGCTATTTTCTATTATTACTTTGCAGCAATGCAATAAATTTGTACATACTTGGGATTACAAAATAATATCTTTTCATATAAAGGTACCGAATACTTGTACAGCATGGGCAAATATTACAATGTCGTCACTTTATTTTCAGTATGTAAAGAATTCCGTCTCTCTCCGCCGAGTAAGCCGCAAAATCCCGTCTTTCAATCAGTTCTACTTTGTTTGCACTCTCCATTTCCGATATGAAGGTATCTAGTTCATCAATATCATTTCCGACATATTCTTTAAACTCTTTTCTTGTCGCAATTAAAATAAGACCACCTGAAATAGAGACTGATATCTTATTTGATGTACAAGGACACCACACGACGAGTATTAATCAACGTTATTAGGATAAGTCTATATTTTGTCATTTAAGTCTGTTATCGTAATTTAACAGTTCATATTCCCATCGAATTTAAAAATCAAAGGGCCATAATGGCTTACGGGTTTGTTATGACTATAAAGTGGGAGGAAAAGCGTCGCATTCATGATGTCTTGAAGTTTAAGAGAAAATGAGGCAAAAATAAATCATTTATTATAACAAAATAACATGAAAAATGCAGACTCGGTTTAATTGAGTCTGTACATGAGGGATGATCAATTAAAAAGTGCAACATCCCGCACGACGGACCCTTAGTACCAGCTTAAACACTTAAGTGTGGAATCAGTGATCCCAAAGGACCAGAAAAATATAACACTGAAGTGAAATACCTGTTTTTACTATACGAATCATCTCAATTAGGCCTGAACAAGGTATATGGTTCTCACCAATTCCAGCACTCACTAACAAACAGTCATATTTACCTAGGAATGAATAAGTAAGTTAATGAATATTTCTATCTTTAAAATTGTAAAACAATTTGTAGTCAAATTTAACTTCGAAATTGAAAAGATAAAGAACTTCCGCTGTTATGTGCTGTAGTGTATTGTATTCATAGAAACCTTCGCGGAAACAGTAGTTCCTCTTAAAAGTAAGTGTGTAAAACACATCAATTATGAAGGCACAAATCGCGAATGTAAATTACCTTTCAAAAACATTATTGGTGTAAGAGTCTAGAATTATTTGCGTTTGCTCATCAGAAGTTATGTATTATAGATGCGAGTGTCAGTGTCATAGAACCAAATAAAACAAGCAGATATTAAAGTTTAGAAGGAACTTACACTTTCGTTATATTTTTCAATTCTTTAATAATGCATGAGTTAAGAAAGAAATATTAAAATTAGAATAACACATGTTTGTTCGCTTTTTATCACACATTTAGCCTTACCATTATCAATATGAAGTTGATTGTCACCACAGAATTCTTGATATAGCTTCTTGTAGTGACGCCTTTCCTTACATTGATTTAACATTCCTTCAGATGGGTCAAGACCATCAATATCTGTAAAGCCATACGCTGCTAGCTACAAGGAAGAAAATGACGTTTGTTAGATAAATGGAGGGTAGAAAGACGCCACTTTGTAATCAAAGAACGACGACCAATTTACATGAAAATAATACATATTTTTTATGTCCAGTGTATCATTGATGAAAAAGAATTTGTATTTTTTTTGTGATGGTTCAGTTTTTATATCTCCGTCCAGCAAAAAAAAATGGGGGCAACATATACATTTTACAAAGTCCGTCCGACTGTTGTCCGTCAAGTCCATAACTTCTTCCGTTTATGTCATAGCTTTAGGGTAAAAGTGTAGCACGTCCAGAAAATGTGATGAGTGAAAGTCAGGTCTGTAGCTCAAAGATCAAAGGAAACACTTTGATTTTAAAAACAAATTGCATAAAAGTGACTTAACGTTATGTCTGGTCAACAATTCTGTCATTCAGATTTGTATCTCATAACTGTAGATCTAAAGTAATTTCTTTTCCATAAGAACGCACTGAATGATTCCTGAATGGAATAAATATGTTGTACATCGTGACGACGGGTTGCAGGCAGAAGTCAGGTTTCAAGTTTAATGGTCAAGGTCCATTTGTACGCCCACTGTAATAATATGAATTTTTCGTGAAAAAAAATGGCCAGAAATGTTTACACGTTGCGAGAAATAATCAGATTTTCTGCTTTAAAGGTCCAGGTCTTGGTTGTCATCCAAAGCAATAATATTATTGTGATATAGCGTTGCCCTAAGCTTAAATATGGCATAAAAGGCGTGTGGTTCTGAAGCCTTACACGGGGGTGTAGCTCCTCTGTTTCTTTATCCCGTCTTATATACAAGAAATTTACTGTGTTATACTTAGATGTCAAAAATATTTCAATGTTGATTTTATCCGGAAATATCTTTGTTAATTATTTCAGGGATGCTTCTTACACTGAAAATGTTTATAAATGCTTCTTCAAATGTCTTATACTCTACTTGTTATAACCATGCATTCATTGGAAGTCAAAGGTCGTATTCTTTTCTGGATCAAGCTTGGTGGGTGGACATTTGTTTGTTTCCAAATACAAGTCTTGATTTACTCTAAAACATCAAAAATTGAAACCGTTTCTTCCTTTTATGGAAGCAAATTTAACGTGTAAACCTTTATGTCAATATGTCTTAGATATTGCAAAAGTAATTTCAATAACCAATGTAATGTTGTTATTTTGCGATCAAGGTTTCATTGTATTAATACTATAGGGGGAATAACAATGAAGGATGGGAATCATAGAAGTAAAATAAAATGTTCTGAATTATTATACATATAATTATATAACTGTATTTGCAATTTAGGTTCATAATACCTTTATCAACTACGATAACATATCTTAGAATGATTAACTAAATATTTATATTACAGAATGTGTGAGCGAGCAGTCGACCGTTTCATTTTAGGATATGATTCAGTTACAAGCTTTGTACAGCGCGATGATCAACGTTATTCATATGTTATAATATTTGCATAATATCCTTTACAGTCACATATATATACTACAGCCTAAAAAGCTAAAGATCTAATCATTTGATACTTATAGCCGAGTGTTGAAAAGTTATTACCATTCCTATATGTTTTAGTACATGACGCGGCCAGAGATGTATGTAGCTTGATTAAGCATTTAGTTTGACCTAGGAAATAAAATAGCTAAAATGTAAATGTGTTCTTTTGAATGAAATTGAAGGAGGAATTTACCTTTTCTCCAACAAGACCGGTTCCACAGGCAATGTCCATTATCTTAATTTTATCTCTAGTCACCGGGAAACATTTGGCCACTTCGTCAGCTAAAATTGATGGTGCAGAAAAATTGCGTGCTTCCATGTCCTGGATTATCAAATACCGATAGAAAAATGAGTACAATATTATAAAATTATCATTTAAGAAGAATATTAAAATATGAGAGAAAGAAGTTCTACAAACTAAACAAGTTATAAATATAAGGCTAGTTGTTTTATGTTGTGAATTGTTATAAGTACTGGACATAGTATTGGCAGTAAAGTTATATGGTTTTAACTTTTTTCGGAAGTTTTCAGAATAATTATCGAAATTATATAAAAAAAGTTTGAAAACATCTTGACTTAAACAATTTTTTACAGAATTTTGTCGACTTTTGAGCATACCCAATCATAATTTCCCCACAACTCTTATGATAAGAGCACATGCAAATGTTTGCGTTTTATGATAAACGGGTATTGAATGAAAGCTCAGAGTTAGGGCTCTATCAATACTGGTTCAATAAAGGCATCAATCTAACACATTTAGTTCGAATTCCAACAAGAGTTTAGATTACTGTATGTGAAGACGTTTTCCAGCCAGCTTAAGATCAGTGCTTCTACTGTCGTGCCTGAAATTATGCACAAAGGGACACATGGTGCCTTCCTTCATCAAAAAATGACCTTAACAATGTTGATGCCACGTAAAATCCCAACAAAAATAAAATCGTTAACAAAAGAAAATTGTCAATCTTTCTTTACGTGTATGTCCACATTTTTTGTACGTAAATAACATATAAACACTTGTCTTGTAATATGAAGATTAAGTGATGATGAATCATAAACGAAAATAATATTTTAAGATGTATCAAAATTATATAAATGGTTACAAATATTAACTTTAAAAATCTATTTATTGTCTTAATTCATTTATACCAGATCTACCTTGTCATACTGCCCATTTTCCGTCCATTTAGTGTAGCATTCTGCAACCTCTGATGGTGACATGCCCCTCATTGTTGACCTTAAATTGTCAAAGAAATTCGCCATTTGCTACTGACTGTTGCACTCCTTACGGTTTACCTGTAATATAAAAAAGACATGCAGTTGAGGTAACGAGTATGAAGAGTAATTCGAACTGGTATTTTCAAATTAGATTTAAAAGAACATTACTTTAGAGGTATTACTCAAACACTGCTGTGAGTTATACCGATAGGGGTGGTTTTGTTAATCTAAGGCAAAGTGTTTCAACTTTCGACTGGTACACTCTACAACATAACGATATCAACGAAAAAGCACTTAATATTACATCACAATTTCATAAATTTACTCAAGAAACAATTCATAACAAAACACATATAGTCAGAAAAACAGGTTCACAATGGATGTACAATCAAATTATAAAAAAAAAAGATCAGAAAGCGCAAAAGAGCATACGATAAAATTCATATGCAAAACAATGCACATCACCGGGCTATTTATAAGCAGTTAAGAAATAAGACTACACAACTAATAAGAAATGCACGCACCAATCACGCAAGAAAAATTGCTGAAAGGTTAATGTATAGCAACCTGACATCATTCGATCAATGGAAAATATTGAAACTATTTATCAAACCAAATATAAATGTACACAAAACAGCAACATACCAACTACACCACTAACTGTGACACTAACAATGACAAAACATACACAACAAACAATGACAAAGCCAATGCCTTAATATATTTTCAATAACAAACTGAATTTGCTGACAACATCAAGGAATTTGAAGAAACAACGTTAAACACATTACATACATACAACACCATAAGAATTCGCCTCACTACTTAAATCATTAAAGGTAGGGATGGCGGTAGGTTCGAACATCATAATAATGAAACCCTAAAAAAACTCTAACTATAGAACTTGCTGATCCACTCCGCTGCCTTTTCTGTCTTTATAAAGGGTCTAGAAAAGTTTCTTCACAGTGGTAATTAGCCTATGTATCTATTGTGTATAAAAAAGGGAGATCTTCAAAATATTTCAAATGAAAGACAAAGCTTCTAAGTATCCTTAAAGTGATGGAAAAAAAATGCTCACATGCATGTTTCAGATTTCTTTATTGATAACAATCATTTCCTTCCAGTCTGGATTTGTCGCTGTACCTCAACTTACCTCATTTTATCATATTTTTGCCAAGCTCTTGATGAAGACAAAAAAGTAAGAGCAGCTTTTTTGTGATATTTCCAAAGGATCAGATCAAGTCTGACACAAGGTCTATTACATAAATTGTCTTTGACAGGGATTTCTGGTAATCTCCTCGAATGTTCCAAAGACTATTTATCTGATCGACAAAAACGAGTTGTTCTATCCGGATCTATTTCAAACTTATTTAATATTTACGCTGGTGTTCCCCAAGGCTTAATATTGGGACCTCTTACGTTCATTGCCTATATCAATGACATTGTTTAGGACATAAATCATTCATAGGCTGTTTGCTGATGACACTTCTCTTTATCTTCTTCTTGAAAATCGTTGCAGAAATCCTGCACTCAGACCGTAACAAGATCAGCAGATGGGCAGATACCTGGGCTCGTCAAGTTCAATCCGAGCGAAACCGAATCAATTCTTATATCTAAGAAGCATCAACCACATAATCATCCACCTTTTTTCATGAATGATATTCAAATTTCTGAAGAAGAATCCCATAAATACCTTGGAGTTACGCTATTTAAAAATGGTTCCTGGTGTAAACAGATTTCGAATACCAAACACAACGTGCGGTAATTAAAATACTAGAAACAACTTCTATTAGGTCAGTCTTAACGTATGCAGACGTCGTATAGGACAATTTGACACAAAATTTAAAAGGATCATGAATTAGAACAGATCCAGCTGGAAACAGCTCGTCTGGAGCAATCAAATTAGTCTCACTATCAAACATTTACAAAGACAATGGTCTTGAAACTCTGAAATCTAAAAGTCTTCAACATAAATTAATACTGTTTTAAAATGACGAACATCCTGGTGCCACCATATCTATTGCTATAAGTCCCTGAATCTTTGGATGATATTATTCCTTATAATCTAAGAAATGATCCCAGTACCAGAAAATACATTGTAACACTCAATTCTTTTCAAAATCTTGCCTGCTTTATACAAAAAGTGACTAGAACCAAATACCTGTGGAAGTCAGAAATGCACCTAGCATAGACATATTCCAGAACAAACTCAATTGATTATTCTTCAAATTTAAAAAGTGCCTTCATATTAGTACCATGGTAGCCGTAAGCTCCAAATCTTACACAAATATCTTAGAACCAATTTAAACATCCTCAGAGGAGATCTCTTTTCTAAATACATTATTGGTGAGATAAATGTCATTATATTTCATCATTTTTCCCACCAGAGGACCATTCTCACAGGACAGCTTCAACAACAATCTCACTATTTACGGCGGAAGAGAGCTCAGTGATGAAACAAACTTGTACACGAATTTATCTCTAGCACAAAGCCGTTCCGTCTTATACCACTCTTTATGTGTTTTCTGTACATCCATGCATTTACGAACGCTAACAAGTGCTATTTTAGTTTTTTTTTCTCATTATTTTCATCGTTTGTCATTATGAATTTGTGTTACGATATTTATAAGATATCCTAGGTATTACATCCAAGATAAAAAATAATCCCGACAATCTCTAAAGAATAAACATATTTGAAACATCAGTGATTTTTCCTTTTCTATAAAGAACTATTACAGACACCTCCTTCTTCACGACTGATCTATCATATCTTTCATGACAATGGCCACATCTTGCTCTCTAAGTTCTGCCTCTATAACTATCCTACTTTCTAGATTACTTCCTTACCATGAGCAATAAGAAAATCAAACATAAACGAGTATAAATATATTAGTTTCTGAATTTAAAACTGCACATCAAAATATTTTCTTCCGTACCTACTCCCACTTCGAAATAACAATTCAATATGATGCACAACAGTTGTTGCATTCACTTTTATTACTATTATAACTCATTTCACTCTTTATAAATGTAATTATTTCATGTTACTGTTCATTATGCTATACCATTTCCTATTCACAGGAGAGAAAATTACATCTTTTCAATACTGTATCATGGCATGTAGTTGTACATAATTGTATATGCTTGAACTATTTGGAATGTTTAAACCTCAGCGATAGCTATTGCGAACATATACAAACACACAATAAGTAGAATCAAATATACAATAAAAATATAATAAATTGAAGGTAAAATGTAAAATACTCACGACCCGTAGATAACATCAGGGTTTCGTCGATTTTTAGGTGTTTACTCAGGTTGTTGTAGTAACACAAGATGTAATAATAATAGCTGACGCGCAATTTCTGTGTACCGGTTGAGTCAACATGATTTTGACTCAACTCAATGATAAAAGAAAATTTATCATTTATGCTTACTTGATTTAACGATCAGAATTTGTAATTTACGAATTACTAAATTTATATCATTGACACTAGTGCTCTTCCATACTCTATTCTGAGGACGCAAGAATTTTTTGATATGCAAGAATTTTTTAATATAATAATCCATTTATCATTAAGGTAAGTTTAAACACAAAAGTCATTGCACTAGGTCCATGGACAAAAACCCGGATAAGGTCCTGATTAAGTACCATTAAAATAATGCATAAGAATATATTTAGCATAAAATGTTTTTTCTATTAATTTAAACCACCAACTATCAAAATATGTTACCGATTTAAAATACTAGTAATTTCCAATGGCAGATTTGATTATAATTAAAGTTGATCCAGATTTTTGACAGGGTTAAGATTTGAATTTAACAAGGTATTGCAAGCTTAGTTACAACTTCGGATAAGGAATGTATGTATGCAGTATGTTATCATTTTTCTCTTGTAAAGATAGGAACAGATTCAGTAGCGAAATTACTTATAACTTTTAAACTTCATCTAATACGATTCGCTTCAGTAATAATTCAGAAAGAAAACATAATTGAGCCGCGTCACGACAAAACAAACATAATGGTTTTGCGACCAGCATGGATACAGACCAGCCTGCGCATCCGCGCAGTCTGATCAGGATTACTAACTCTATTACAAGTAGTGAAACTGATAGCGAACAGCATGGATCCTGATCAGACCGCGCGGATGCGTAGGCTGGTCTGGATCCATGCTGGTCGCAAACCCATTATGATGTTTTGTCTTGACACGGCTCATATAAAATATCTATATGATCAAGCGCATGCGCAACTTTTACCAAATATGTATCATTTTTAATTTGAATGAATTATCATGCTTGACCAAGATCAAAATAATACCTCTTTCGGTTTAAAGATGATGTATGTTGTAATTAAGGTTGTAACCACACTTAAGTGAAATTTTATATATGTTTATAATTATCCTTCTTAAACAATTTTCAAACATCGAAGAATATGTAAAATATGTACTGCAAATATTTGGCCACATTATATGTAATCATCAAAATATATGCATTCATTTCTTTTTTCTTATTGAAAAATTTGACTCAGACATCAGAAAATAAATTTCTAATTACCTCCTTTCATTTAATGCATGAAAATGTAAATTCGGTTATATCTTTGAAAATGTTTTTTTTTTCTTTTTTTTTTTCTTTTTTGTTTTTTTTTTGAACTTACAATATTGATAAATCTTCATTTGAGCATTATACTAATGATATAAAACCATAAGAAATTGAGTAACAGGATCTTTAACTTTAGTATCATTTCAAAATAAAAGGTTTTTATGCGTTTAAAGATCCTGTAATTCAATTTTTATGGTTTATATCACGCAAATAGAAGTTAGTCAAAATTCAACTGTACCACAGAGTCAATTAGCATCTGCAGTAGATCCACCAAGGGTACATAGTCATGTCACTTTATTTGTAATAGGTAAGTGCATCGACAACTTTGCCTCATGTAGAGCCTCCAATTTCCCCACCGGCAAGTATAGAAAATTGTACTATATTTGGTAATGATTTTCAGTTTGACTTGGGCCCGGTAGCTGTTGCAAGTGTCTATAATCAGCGTGTGTTTCATGTCAGTAACACAATAAAACATATAATTATTTCAGGGCAATATGAGCCGCGTCACGACAAAACCAACATAATGGGTTTGAGACCAGCATGGATCCAGACCAGCTTGCACATCCGCGCAGTCTGATCAGGATCCATGCTGATCGCTTACCAACTCTATTACAAGTAGAGAAACTGATAGCGAACAACATGGATCCTAATCAGACTGCGCGGATTTTTTTCTGGAGTCATATCCTTAAAAATATATAAACACTATAAAACAGCATCAAATAGGCACATGGGTTAAGGTTGGAATAGATAGATAGTTTTATTCTGGTAAAAAATACATGTCATAAAACAACTACAAATTCAATGTCAACATCAAGAGATACATGTAAACATGAAAGTGCATGTGTTGATGCCATATATTCAATACCAAGGATGACACAAAAAGAAGGCATAAGCCGACTTATTTCCATTGTGGTCCTTAGAATTGATCATATGACACCAGAAAGGCAAAATATTTACTAATTTTTAAGTATTGCACATAAATTATTCAATCACAATTTCTTATATCAATTATTGCACATAAGTATTTCCATCACAAAAATTTATCACACATGTATTATAATCATAATTATTATGACAGATATGTTTGACAATGAATAGGTACTACTAAAATATGCACTAAACATAAAAAATATATAAATAAAAACTAGGTAAGATGACTAGATTAAAATGACTAAACAGATATTGATTGCATAAAATGTTCCTTAAGAGATTTTTTTAAAATTATCACGACTTGCTATGAACCTAAGATGTGTTGGTAACCTGTTCCATTCCCTGACAACCATTAAATACAAATGTTTTCTTACGAAACCCTTAACTCTTGGAATAGAATAACTGTTACTATCTCTAAATCGAGTGGAGTAAGAATTGTACCTCATTTGCAATTTGAAAATGCTCATTTAAATAACTACGTGCACTATTGTTATGTATCTTATGTACATGACCAAGAATAAGGAAATTTACCCTCTGATGTACTGGTAACCAACCAACTTCCTCAAAATGAGCCCTCCCTATATGAGTACGGGGACTGAGATGACGATCAACAGTTAAGATTGCGCCTGGCCGCAGATCCAACTGGCATATCTTTTGCCAAGATAGATTATGAGCTTTGGTTATTATACATTGGTGCATCTGCTAGTATGTTTGGGGTCAGTATGCAAAAAAGTACAAAAGAGTGTTTTTATTTTAACTATAGGCAGTGCACTCCTCAGTTCAGTTTCGTCAGTGTGTCGTCATTAGTATGTAAAATGTCTTTTTGCAGTCAAGCATTACGTTCGAGAAGGAAATTCTTGCGAAGATGCTATGATGTCATGTCCTATGTTAAAAAGCCTTATCATATGCTTCCCATTTCAGAATTTCAGAAGCGGTAAGACTTTATTTAACGGTGTGGCTCACATTTTTGTATTCATTCCGCGGTGTCAGTTATATCCCAGATGACGTATGGTTAGATAGTAGTAATTTGAAGTTATTTACTGACAGTGCAGGGTACTCAAAAATGGGTTATGGTTGTTTTTACGGAGTAGAATAGTCGTTTCTTGTGTGGCCTAAAACATTGTGTGACATGATTATGAAGGACATCACCTTTTTAAAAATAGTCCCTGTTATGCTCGCCTTATGTTTATGGGGGAGACAGTTTCAACATAAGAAAGTTTTATTAGATAATGAGAATTTAGCTGTAGTCATAATCAAGCAAGCATCAAAATCAAAGCATTTTATGCAATCAGTTCGTCAGTTTGTATTATTAGCAAAGGAGTTAGGTATTTTGTTTAAAGCAGTGCAATCTCAATCGCTTACTCAACTTCTCGAATGCAGTTGGACTGTTTCTGAAAGTTTACTGCAGAGGCAAACCAGAAAACAGCGAATATACCAGATCGTTTCTTTTTCATTGAGGTTCAATCTGAAGCTGAAAGATAGTTAAACGCTTCGTTTGCAGATAACACAGAGTTTACAACACAAGGCTTAATTGTTTTGAACGTTTTAGGAACATTTAAAGCATGCAGTCAGTTTGGCCACCTACCATAGAGCAAAAAGTCATGTTTATTTCCTGGTTATCATTAAAAGAAATTGCATTTTCAACTGCCCATTTATATGTAATACAATTGGGTTTCGATTAAAGATTAGCAATGTTTGTTACGTTTCAATGCATTACATTATTGACAAGCTTTTAGAGGGTTTGAAGAGGTCTGCCAGAGTAAGAGAGTCAAGACTAACAATACCTCAACATGTATTGCAGCATATTTTGTCAGTTTTGCCTGCGGTTTGTTCAAATTTGTATTAAAGTCATGGATTCGCAGCAGGTTATTGTCTTGCATATTTTGCTTTCCTTAGAATGAGTGATGTGACCGAGCAAAATATCAGCTGCAAATGTAATTTTAATATCTGATTTACTGGTAGATGAAAGTGAAGGTTATATCGAAGTAGTATCAAATTCTACATATATAAGGTGAACCATTTTTTATGCTAACACGCAGGTGCCTTAGCTTTGAATTAATTCAAGCCAATGTATTCAAAGCACAGAAAAGGTATTGGATCGTCTACACTAAAGCAAGCATTTACGGTAGCAAGGCAAAGGCCTGGTGGAGCAAGCCTAGATTTGAAGTGTATTATTATTTGGTGGCAAGGCTACAGCAAAATGTCTATACCGGATGTTTTCAGTTAATTTAAGACATTAAAGAGGGTTGGAGATATACCCGACATAATTTTATTACACTGTGGGGGTAATGATTTAGGTCAAAATAATCTATAAGAATTTCGTGCACAAATTGATAGCGTAATCAAGATCATTTTTGTTACTTTTAAATGTAAAATCATTTGGTCCTAGATATTTCCACGTCATAATGCATGACGCCATTCAGGTTATTATGCTGCAATGAAATTAGCACAAAAAAAGGGTAAATAGTTATGCGACTAAGAGAGTAATTGAAAACGGTGGTTTTTACCTGAAACACCCTGACATTAGTTAAGTTACTTACGCTC